ATGAGAATGTGTCCCAAGACATGGTCAGTGAGCGAGGTCGGTGGCGCTGGGGTGACCCAAAACAGGTCGGCAGGCCGGCAAGACTCCCTTCTGTCGTTCCAGGCCTCCAGCAAAGTGCGCTGCCAATCTCTGGGATCATCTCGAAGCCGAACATTCCTTCCAGGGTCACAGCGAGGTGCATATGATGCATGAAGGTACCAGGTGGTCACATACGCAACTGGCCCTTCATCTTCGCGCTCAGTTTCTGCAAGATCTTGGAAGATGCGATGTAATGCCTGAAGCCACAGCGGCAATGTCTCTATGAGTCGCTGCTGATGAGAGGCATGCATCCTGGCATCAATAATGGCCATTCGATTCTGAAGATTGGTGCCTGAAGGATACCCTGTCGGTACACTGGGTGAGCGCCTGATGACAAACTTGAAGACGCTGCCATGTCTGGCATAAACTCGCTCAGACGGCTCGACCATGCGGGGACCTTCCCACAAAGAACATGCATTCTCTGGTCGCTCCGGCGGGCAGTCATCATGAGCTTGCAACATAGTGCAAACTGAGTGCAAGTCCACGTGATCACCCATCACCACAGCCAGGGAGTGGGCCCGCCCTTGGTCGTATTCGGTGTCATACGTGGAAATCACCACAGAGCGTTGCAGATGATGAGGCCTTTGTACAAGGATCAACTGGCCAATGATTTGTCCTGAGGCGTCTTCAGGAGTAGGTTCGACCATGTAAAACTCGAGCGGCGCACCAGGAAGAATGTATTGCCGCCAGAGATGACGTAGCTGCTCTTCCCAGCGGTGAGCATCTGGTCCGAGCACTGCTATACGGGTATGGTGGCACCGTTGAAAATTTGTATGGTCATTGAACCAGGTTTCAATCCGCCCAAGTCGTTCCATGCCTCCTGGGCCAACTGTCGCAAACTGGGTCCAAGCCTCATGTAGACGTTGTACCCAAAAATCATATGCTGACAAATCACCTGGGTCATCCTCAGGAAACTCAGGTGTGGCCTCCGTGGCAGTGCGCAATGCGTCGACAGCTCTGAGAAACTCATCAGTAAAGCTGCAGGAGATGACCGCCGGATGACCGACCACCTCATCATCAAGGCCAAGACCAAATAGTGAACCAGGTCTTTCATTTTCATCAGCAATCTGAGTGGCAGTTGCAGGCGCAGGAAGACCAAGCTTCTCAACCGCAGGGATGTGGTTGGTGGTGATCTGCATGAGGGCCATTTCCTCAGGCGCTGCATCACATTGGAACCGGAATTCATCATCCCCAATGAAGATTTTGACGTAGTCACCATCTTCAATCGTGAGAGCACTTCTGGACATTGGATCGACTAGCTCGTTGTTGAGCCAAAGGTGTGTCTTCTCCTCATGCAGCGTGAGGAGTGGCTCAAGGCCCAACACCCGAAAGAGTGACAACCGCGTCGTAGTGTGAGGAAGCCATTTCACCGTGCGTTGAAATACACCTGGCAAAATGTCATTGGGCTCAATGATCTCAAGGTCGAGCAATGCCAGACGCAAAAAAGCAATAGGCCGCGGTTGATGAGCCTGAACAACCAAAATGCAGAGCAGCTCCATCGCGACAAAGTCTTCAGGCCGCGCAGAGACACCGACCGCCATTGACACTGTTCCCTGAGGCAAAGATAGAGCAGTTTCAATCTCATGAACTTGCCCTGGTCCAGGAACGTCAATGATATGACGAGAAAACGAAATCCCATCAAAGCAGAATAGCACTGTTCTGGGCCTGGTAACCGACCGAGTAGAGGAGACATCACTGCCTGTACTGGTGGTCGCTCCGGTAGATGAGGAAGAAGAACCAGATGATGAAGGAGCACGTAATCGAGGCCTGCGCGCCATGAGCACGACCTGATCATCATCACCATGGTTGTCTGCTGGTGGTAGCGGAGCAAACTCTGGCCAGGTTTCCATACGAGGGCGAACAAAGGTATTCCAAGTGTCTTCATCAAGCAGCATTGGAACACTGACAACAATTCCAAGACCATCAACAGCACGTATAGGTCGCTCACGAGGAAACACATACCCTCCGGCACGAAGGACGCAAGGACGTAGGCCCTGTCGTTGAGCTTCCTCACAAACCTCAAATGCTTCGGCTCTGTGAAGCACAGTGTTGCGATCAGTCCAGATGTCGAGAACATGAGCGATCTCTCGAGTGCGAGGCGTAGGTAATTCATCAAAAAGAGCTGTAGTCAGAATAGCGGCCCTTTCAGGTTGAGCATGCTGCACCACTAGTGCAATGCCAACGATACCCCGCGTGATGGAAATTGGAGGTTCTGGCTTTACCAAAAACAGGCTGAAGTCGGCAAAGCGGTCAAAATGGTCGCCCCAGACCCGTTTGATCTCCTCGCTCCAGTTTTCATATCTTCGTGTCAATCGAATTGGTCGGCTGTCCGCTTGCCTGACACAGTTGCGATGACTGAGATAGTAGGTGCTGAGGTAGATCACTGGCCCTTCCTCAAGGAGTTCAGCGGCACCTTCATCCTGGAGAATGTTCCAGAGCTCTTCGACCCACGCAGGAAAGTGCCTGAGAGGACGTCGCCCTTGTCCAGCGTGCCCATGAGCATCATCTGACGAGCTGGAAGGGTCTGGAAAATTTGGATTTTCTGTCAAGTCAGGCCGGTTTTGCATGGGGCCAGACCTCGGCAGGCTGATGAAACTAGGGCAAAGACATGCATCATGGTCGCTCTGCACCGTTCCAACTCGATCAAAAAGTCCATGTTGAGGTGCATCTGGGGGAACTGATTCAAAAAGTCCATGCCTACTGTCTTTTGCCGGATGCCTGGGAACATGCATCCAAGCGTAATGTGACGAAAAGGGCACTGACACCTGCAAGGCAGAAAGCTGATCGGAGCACTCCGCAATGTCAATGCAAAAATCCTGGCTGAAGGTTCTGGGATCTGCCAATGACCACGGTTTGGAGGGCCAACCAGAAAGTACATCCTCAAACACTTCTTGTGTACGCTCCAAACACGTGTCATCATCTAAAATACGCACTTGAATGACTGGGTCAAAGGACAGCTTGACTGCAATACGCTTCGGTTTTGACAGCTGACACATGTCGATTCGAATGGCACTGGTATACCCAACTTCAGATGCCAAATCTTCGGCTCTTTGAAGAGCGACCCAGGGAGAAGTAAATGCAAGCTCTTCGGTCACGGAGTGCAGCCAGGGAAAACATTCTGGCCGAAGCTCCAATGAAAACGGCATCTGGTGAACGCACACATTTGTCACTGAACACCTGCCTTGCCAAAAGGCTGCATAGATGGCAATACTGGCTGTGGAGAGGCGCCATCTTCTCCATCCGAAGCTTTGCGAAGGCGTTTGGATTTTCTCTCTTCTGCCTCCGCTTGCTCGGAAAGTGCTTGTAAAGAATTGACCACCTGTGACAAACCAAGGCCAATCTTTTGCGTGGCTTCGTCCTTCATCTCTTCGTCCGGCAAGGCCTTCGCACCCTCGTCGGCCTCTTCGTCTGAAATGACATGATGACCAGCCCCAGAGCGGATAGCTTCTGAGGTCTCCCCAAACTTCCTCTGAGCATTGTGCAATTGCTCTTTGGCAGCAGACAATTGGGCCTGTGCTTCGGCTTCTTGTCCCTGAAACAATTGAGTGTACTCCTTCCAGCGAGCAACGCTGTACTGAAGGAAGGTACGCCATGATGTAATCAGGCGCAACCGTGCTGCCTCTGCATCTGCGACCGCTTTTCTCGCAAGCCTGAGCTCGGCAGCACTGTCCTGCACTTGCTGCAGGGAAACTTCCTCGGCCTGAAGCTTGACCTCTTGAACAGCCATCTGAACCTCTGGAGTCCAAGTATCCTCTGACTTGCGCAAGGCACCAAGGATGTTCTGGAGATGTTTTTCCGCCTGTGAGGTTGGAGCCGGCGATTGCCCAGGCTGTACCATCCCAGGGCTCATCCCATCCAACACTGGCATTTGCTGCATCTGCTGCACCCACACCTGATCTGGAGGAACTGCGGTGGCCTTTGGCATAGGTGGAGGCGGCGGTGGCGCTGCACGAAGGCAGGAGGACCTTGAGGAGCAGGAAAAGGACCATAGGATCCCTGAGGATACCAATTGCCAGGAGGAAGATACTGGGGTTGCGAAGGCATAGAAGGTGGCCCAGATTGCTGCAGCCCCTGCTGCTGTTGAGCCTTGCCTCTTTTGCCTTTGCGGGACTTGCGTCGAGGTGTATGCTCTCTCGCATGCCCCTGCTGATAACCGCCTTGACCTTGCCCTTGATAAGGATAGTCTCCGCCGTGATGCTGACGATGTGGTGAGGGCCTCTGCTGCTGGGAGGACGGCGGTTGAAAGGAGGTGTCCAAAACCTCCTGCCAAGTCTTGCCGCACCAAGCGCAACGTGGCATTGATGGTTTGGCCATCTTTTTGCACACCCTGCACCTCCATGGAACTGGTTTGGAGTTCGACATCGCTCCTCGAATCCGGGCAAGGAACAACGGATCCTGGCTGTGATGCGCACCAAGAGTTGAATGCAGCCGGGCCAGTGCAAGTGAATCGAGAGGTCGAAGGCCAACGCGATGCAAATGCCACCGAAGGCGAGCTTTGGCACGTGCTCTGCGAAGAGCTCGACGATGAGTGGCTGCAGTCTTCGCAATGATGTCGACGGCAGATCACAAACTCAGGGGCAAAGATCAATGCAAGGAGCAGGAAGAAAGGCCACAAGGTCATACACCGTGGCGATGTCAAAGAGCAGCAAGAGGATGCAGGCAATGCCCAAAGCCGCAGCCCAAAGCCGCCCAAAGCCGCAGTGCTCGCTGAGGCTGTGCAGCGCAACGCAAGCGCCACAAGCCCGCGGGGAATCGCACCAAGAACCCCGCTAAGTACACCAGCTAAAGGGGGATACCCTTAGAGCCGAGACCTTTATAGCCCAAAACCATCCAAAATCCAATGATTGAAATTGAAATCATCATTTTCCTGGCCAGAAAGGCCAGGGTTTGTTTTGAACATATTTTGGACACTGGGAGCCCAGGCAAGCGAATGGAACCATTGCTGTAACCACCTACCTGGCCCCAGCTGGAGCCTCTGCCGTGACACCATTGCATCTCAAGAATTGAGCGAATTTCGAATGCCCATGGAATCCCCCCCAAAAAACAGAAGAAACCAATTTCGAAAAGACAACTAAGATATAAAATATATATAACATATATAAACACAATAAACACACGTTTTATTTTTCTGGGTTTCCATATGACATCGTCAAAGGTTGGGTTTTATTTATTCAGTGAAAACCAGCCCCAGGTGATGGCTGCCATGGGCTTCCGAGATCACTTAGCAACCTTCAGCGTGGTGGGAGAACCCTGGGAAATGCGGGTCGACAGGCTGATTTTAGTTATTTTAACAGTTATTTGGTTGGGAAAAATATGGGAAAAGATATGGAAAAATGATGTTTAATGCTACAAAAATGGATGGTTTACGTCTTTTTTGACCCATACCCAGATGGAAAATGGATGAAAAGGGCTCGTAACTGGAAAACTTGGATTCGATCACTTTGCTGGACATATGACATATGTCACAAAATAACCTTTTCCGAGAACGTGTCACAACGTGATTTGTTTGGAGCAACCTAGAGACGTTGAGACGGCTATGGCCTACTGGTAACATCGCGTAACAGTAGCTATCCCTGTGGCGAGGTGTTGACTGCCGTGCGGTCCGTCTCCACTCCTATGGGCATTGCTGGGAGCCTCGGGGGCGTTGAACCTACGTCGCTGGAGAAATGGATGGAACAGGTGACAACAGGTGACAACAGGAACATACGTAGGATATATACGTAGGATATATATATATATAATATATATATATCTACGTCGTAACCACATATGGAACCTATACGAGGTTGAGAATGTGACGTAAGCCGTCGCCCGAAATCCTATTCACAAAATGGATCAACCGTGATCAACCTCCCTGGTTGGAGGTGCTCATGGATAAGTTGGGTCGCCGTGGCAGTCTGCTGCTGGGTTGCTTGGGAAGTGCTGGATCCATGTCAGCTAGGCACCCAGCTGCCAAGGAGCCAAGGAGCCAAGGATGAGTCAAAGTGAGTTGGGGTGATATTTTGCGCTTGAACTGGAACATACTGGATCTATACTGGATATATACTGGAACTTTGATTTGATGGACTTTGTGGGGCATTGTGATATTTTCGCCAGAGCTTCACAAGTGCGCTTCCACCTTGTTTTTCTGAGGTGCTTGTGCTGTCAAACACCTTTGGACACGCTTCAGGCCCCTGTACACATTCTTTTGATGTACCAAGAGGATGGCTGATTCATGGCTGAAACATCCCATTCTTGACATTGATTTTAATGACAAGACATAAACATTAAAAGACGCATAAAAGATCCTTGTCTTGCTTGTCTTCATAGTTTGATAGTTTAGTGTTGCTCCACTGCAAACATATCAAAGAGACCTGTGGCCAATTTGTTTGACTGTGGGGTTGAACAAGTGTCTTTGCCATTTGGGAAGATCCAACATGATATACAATGGCCTACTTCATATAGGGAGTTACTGTAGATATGTGTAGAGATTTTTTGAACTGTACCATACTGTACTCTAGTTTATGAATTTCATATTATGTTTTTTTTTGAATAATTTCATATTGTTTTCATATTATAATTGCAGAAGGGAATGTGATAATTGACTAGTCTAAACTGTACCAAACGCGATGAAGAAAGCCAGGTTTGATGACCTTGTCCTTCGCTTCGTTGGTCGCGTCCTCCGCTCTCTTTGAGACGCTTGGCATTGGGATCGTGGACCTGGTTAAAGGGGACGAGTCCCCATAGGTAATTGCCATTAAAACCAGCAGAAATTTAGTAATTACACAATATTACAATACATTACTATATATTACAATATATTACATATAATTACCATTAAGTTTCCATCATGATGATAATTCGTGGCAATTCTCATGAAATGGGTACTGAATGGTACTGTCATGATTGGAGACACTCATTTCAGATCATCATTTGTGGACATACATGAATAATGAATATATAGGTGTAGCCAAAAAGTTGGTGCTCCCATTTCAGTTCCGAGAAATCATAAATCAGCAGATGGAAGATGACATATTCCGACCCACAAAATGAAGAGAAACTGAGAGATCTGGGAGATCTGGGAGCGTTCCGAGAAACCCGTCCAAGGCTTTGCTGGGCACCGACCTCTTTCCAACTCACAACGGAGTTGTATCCGCAAGAACTGCGGCAGCACGGCTTAGCCTTGTCCCATGCAGGGCTGCCCAGTCACAGCTCCAGATGGAAAAAAACGTCACAAAAAACGTGTCGTTTTCTGGGTCGGCACCTCTCAAGCTCCAGGTGTTCAACTACGGCATCAAGGCTGGAACATGCTGGAACTCACACCTTTTGTGGTCCATCAAAGGCAACAAAACCATGGAACGCCTTATTGCAGCTGTTGATCCGGATCAAATTTCCACAACCTTGGACGATGATGGAATCACAATTGTCCGATGTCAACTTAAAACCATGTATGCCATATTCAGCCTTTGTTCCCAAGTTGAACGACATCATCGTACCCATGCGTTTGGCATATGTGAACATATTTAAACCGTTTGCGCAGGCTTCCCCCCACCACAAATGCCCCACAATGCCTCTCTTTTCAGTGCTTGGTTCATCAATGAAGTGCGCATCCCCATCAGTTTCCCCACCGCATTCCCAACATTTCACATCATTTTCACATCATTGTCCAATGATCTTCCATCATTTCCTCAGGATGTTTCCATCATTTTCCTCATCATTTCCTATTATCTTCCCATTGCCCATAGATTTTCTTAGCATCTTCCATTGAAAATATGCATTTTCCAATGATGTTTCCATCATTTTCCATTTAAAATCAGGATCCTCCCAACATTTTCCATTTAAAATCAAGTTTTCTTCCCAACATTTTCCATTGAAAATCAGGATTTTCCCAACATTTTCCATTTAAAATCAGGATTTTCCCAACATTTTTCATTTAAAATCAGGATTTTCCCAACATTTTTCATTTACCCAGATTTTCCCATGGATTTTCCAGGCCTTAGAGATGCAGCTCTTCCCGTTGCTGCTGGGGGTCACCGGTCTGTCGCCGCTCTTCGGCGCCTTTGCGGCGGTGAACGTCGCGGGGGCCCTGGCGGTGTTTCACCTGGTGCCGGAGACCTCCGGCCGCAGCCTGGAAGAAGTGGAGCTGCAGCTCTGGCAGGACCGAAATGGACCGAAGATCCCATGGAAAATGGATGGAAAATGGATGGAAGTTGGGGGAAAATGATGGAAGTTGGGGGAAAATCCATGGAAAACACATGGAAACACATGGAAAACATATGGAACACATCCTGATTTTGATGGGAGATCGGAAAATCATGGGAAGCATATGGGAAATAGTCATGGAACATCTTGATTTTAGTGGAGCATGTTTGGAATTTCAATGGGAAAACCGTGAGAAAATCAATGGGAACATCATTGGAAACCGATCTTTGTGATGCAGTTTTTGGGGGGATGTTTGAAAATGGGGCAAACATGGGTAAACCCCCAGTGGATTTAGGGGTACCCATACGTTTGTAGGTTGCTGGAGATTTTTTTGGGGGGATATGGGTCGTAATGTCTGCCATATATACTGTTTCAAGTGTCCAAAACCGCAAACTATCAGTTGCAGTTGTGGCAAAAATGGCTGAAACAACCAAAAAGCCATCACCTGATTTGAATCAGGCTTATTTTTGATGAGGATAGTTTTTTTGATGCCAGGTGGGTGCAGAAGGTGGTGTTTTTCGAGTGCGTTTCAACATGTTTCGCAGTGTGTCTTTGTCAGGAAGAAGAGTCCGAAACCTCAGACTGTCACTGTTCTCAACATGTTTGTTTCTGGCCATCACTGGTCTTAGAAGTCTTCTTTCTGATATTTTCTGATATTTTGATGGTCAACCCATTAATATCCATCAATAATCATTATATGTTCTGATGCTTGGTTTGGTGCCATGTTTTTAGACATTTTGATGGTCAAGGATCAAGGATTCTGCCGTTGAGGTGAGAGTACCATGTCGCCCCAAAGAGTTGCGTCGCCTTCCAAAAAGGGACGGACCCAATGGGCACAGCAGATGCGATCGGGAAAAAAAAATCGGCGTGATCTCAGCTGCTCTGAATTTTGTTTCCAAGGTCAAAGCCAAACGTGAAGGTAGGCTGAGAATGGCTGAGAATGGCTGAGAGCAAAGGAAAAAGAACATCCGAAGCTAAAGAGAAAAAATGGTAGAAAAAGGGGAGGTGAAAACCGTTGAAAACGCCAACATCTCTGTTTGCTGCTCCCTGTCCTCCCTGTCGCCCTAGGACCTCATCGAAATCTTCCACATGCTGGGACGGTGTGTCAAAATGCGGGTCCTTTGCCTTCGGAGGAGTGAGCAACAGTGGGAATGTTCTCCAATTCATTTCACATATTTTCACATTGTTTTCACAGCAAAAGCAAAGCTTCGAACTGAATGGGACAAGTTAATGAGCTTGATATATACGTGTATGAATTCACGCTCACGGGTTTAAACATGATAACACCATTCTTTTTACATTGTAGCTCTGGCTTCAGGATAGATGGGCATGTGGGGGCATGTGCTGACCTGCACGTGTCCTCTGTGTGCCTGTTTGAGTTCTATCTTATTAGGATAGGTGGCACTCATCCAAGCTTTGAGTTCTTCGTGACCCAGCGTGCGCGCGGGGTAGAAGCGGACATCCGGGACGAGTTGCAGAGGCTGGGACCGCCACCAAGTCCCGCCACTGCCGCAGCTGCTGCGCCACCAGCGGCTGCGTCCAAAGGGGAGGCCACAGCGGATACCTCCCAAGGTGACAACAAGGCAGGAGAAGAAGGATTGAGCTGCCTGACCACCAAGAGCGCACCCCCGCCGCCGCCATCTCAGCTGAGACTGCCTCCACCAGCTGAGAAAGCCACTCCAGTCAAGGAAGAGCCCAAAGGAGAAGAGAAGCCGCCTGCCACCCCAGGAGTTGAGGACCTCCCCGAGGCGAAGGAAAAGGAGAAGCCTTCAGGTAGCCGTAGAAGAGAAGACAAAGAACCAAAAGAGGATCGCCGTAGGGGAGACCGTAAGTCTCCTAGATCAAGGAGTAGCCGCCGAAGAGAGAAGAGGAGCCGAGATCGTGAGCGCCGACGTGACAGAGAAGGCAGAGGAAAGTCAAACGGAAGCCCTCGAGGAAGAGAGAAAAAGCGCCGCAGTGAAAGACCGCCGGAGCCAAAAGACCCCCCCCACAGATCTTGGAGCTCTTGGGAGTGGGGACCCAGAGAACCCTGGCATCCACCACCTGGCCGTCAGGGAGGCTGGCGAGGAGTTCTACCGGTCTCTGATCACGCAAGGTGGACAGAATCTACAAATAAAGGACAAGTGAAGCGTGCTAAACAAGAATTGCACGCTCGTCGGCATCACAGACGCTAAAGGGAGTCTAGATGGCTCCCAAGGTGAGGAGAGGAGCTTTACGACCGGCAGCGAGCCCAAGAGGACTCAGGCGTCCTGCTGCACGAGGAGACGGTGATCAGGTGAACGCAGAGGGGGAGGCTGTTAAAAGGAGGCTGAGAGATCTTGACCCTCGAGACTTGTTGAAGGTAGGAGCTGTGTGCCTGGAAGAGGCGACTTACTACGGCAAAACTTGCCCGATTGCAGGGCATTTCAAAAGCTTTCGAAGTGAAGAAGAGGAGATCTTCTTGGAACTGGAGGCGACGGGGACCAAGCATGAAGAAATGCTGAGGTGGCTGAGTGGACGCCCCGACAGGAGGGTTACAGTCCATGTTTGTCAAGAAGGGTGTCATGGAAAGCTCACTGACGAGTTCCTCATTCATGCAGAAGCTTTTGAAGCAGTTGATCTACGAGATTACCCTGGCTCCGCAATTTGCAGGGTGTCCGGGAAGTGGAGCAAGGCCAAGATGAAATGGCCTTACTACGAGCTGAACAGGAGAGGATGCAGAAGGATTTACCTGACAAAAAGAAGAAGGAGTCTAAGAAAGACAAGAGGAGGCGCAAGGCGGAGGACAGTGAAGAGGGGAGAAAGAAGAAATCTCCCAGAAGAGATGAAGAGGAGCTAGAGGTGGGTCAGAAACCCTTGGAGTGGATCTTCAAAGGGACGGGCATGGACCCTGACCCCCGTCGAAGGGCAAAGTTGATGAGAAAGGCGAGGAAGGTTGCCAAAAAAGGCAAAAAGAAAAAGAAAAAGGATAAAGGCTCATCGGAGGGGTCATCATCTTCGAAGAGCACCAGTTCGAGTTCGTCCAGCCCAGGGGAAGGCGAAGAAGGGCTCTTTGATGAGGAGCTGAGGGTCCACAGCATATGGAGGAGATATCCGGGCACATTGACGGCGAAGTCACTGCAGGAGATCAAACGGAATCTACTTACTGCGACAGGTACGGTGTGGAGTCTCGAGAAGTCGGTCCTCCCACCATTGTACACGCAGTACGCCCGTCAGGCTGTACTTCCTTCAATGTCCCCTGCACTGCAACAAGAAGCTCTGACGTTATGTCAGGCCCTGGATTACTTTGTGATGGGGCGTATAGCTGGGGGGATGGATATCCTCAATCAGAGGCTGAAGAGTGTCGTCTCCTTAAGCAAGGGGGCCCACTGGAGCTTGGGGAGACAATACGAACTCGTCAAGGTGGAGGACAGAGGCTTCGCTGAGGAAGGAGAGTTCCTGAGCGCTGCAAAAAGAGCCCGCGAAGACGAAAAGATCAAGGGCCTGATGAGTCGGCCTCCACAAGGAAAGGGAGCAGAGGGCTCCCAAGGCGGCAAGAATCGAAAAGGCAAAGAAGGAAAGAGCACAGGAAAAGGTCAACCCTTGGAGAGTGGAAAGAATCGAGGAGGAGGAGGCAGCAAAGAGGAAGGAAAGGGCCAATGGCAGAAGAAATGACAAAGAGGAGAAAGTTCGAATCCAAGGGTGACCAAAACTGTGCCTTAGAAAGATACGCCTATAGGGGAGAGTTTGAGGAGAGCTCTCCCATGACAGGAAAAGCGAGTGAAGAAGAAAAGAAGGATGAGAGAAGTGAGGTAGAGCGGCAAGAGGCGAGTGGCGAAGAACTTGGTTTCACTGTCGAAGATGTGGACAGGCTGATAGCCGAAGCGCAAAGCCTGGCTTCGACAGCACAGGGGAGTGGTGGGGCGTGGCGGCCCGAGCACTCCCAGCCTTCACAAGAATTCAGTGGCATGTTTGAAGAGGGGAGTCATAACAAGGCTGTAGACTCCCAAACGTTTCACACCAAAGTCCAAAGCCTCGTAAGGGCATTTTTTGCTGAGGCTACCGAAGTTCTCCGAGTAGCAGACCTAGCGAAGCTGGTAGTGGATGTGCTGCATGTTCTAGAAGTTGAACAAACATGCAGGCCAAGGTCCAAGGCAGGAAAGGTAGATTTATTTCCCATTCCTGTTGCAGCACTCCGCAATCGGGATTGCTTGGAAGTTCCCTTTCTTCGAGCTGTAGTTGCATGCCTAAACAGCTTGCATAGCCCGGGCGAAGTAGGGCGAGCAACGACAGCAAGGACCGTTGCCCTGGAGGTGACCAAAAGGCTGAAAGACGTGTTGGTAGGATCTTCTATTTTGGGTGAGCCCCTGCCGGATCTTTGTTTCTCCTCTTTTTTCAGTCAAAAGGGTCTGGACTACGCTGGGGATGAAATTAGGCTGGCGGTACCTATTTCTTGGTCCAGTGTTGAGTTATCCCTACCACCAGAAGTTGGAACTTTGGATATTCGGGATTTTTGTCGTGATGGAGTTTTGCACTTTGTTTCCAACATTGACGATACCATCATCCCTTTGGAACATCAATTTCCTATGAGAGCTCCATCTGTAATGGTTAAAGAGGGCGAGTGGGAGCCCTTGGCGAGAGGGTTGGTGGATCGTGGTCTTTGCAGAGTGGTGAGTGAAGAAGAGCTATTCCATATCCGTGGAGTTCCACTATTTAACGGTTTATTTTCGGTGGGAAAGGATGAGATGAAGAATGACATTCCAGTGACAAGATTAATCATGAATCTCAAGCCTTGGAATTCAATTAGTCGAAGCTTGAGTGGTGACATCAGTACCCTCCCCTCCGTCACACAAATGGGTGCCTTCTATTTACATGATGAAGATGTGATGGTTACTTCTTCCGAGGACCTCAGATGCTTCTTCTACTTGTTCCGGGTCCCCGAGGCCTGGACAAAGTTCATGGGCTTTGGCCGCGAGGTTCCGATTAGTCTGGTTCCTGAGGGGGGTACTGGTAAGAGGTGGTACTTAGCTGCTACCGTTTTACCAATGGGATACTTAAATAGTGTTGGAATTGCACAGCATATACATCGAGTTGTCGCCCTCCAAGCCATCGGATCTGTCAAGGGATTGGGGCAATCAGTGCAGGAGATCAGGAGAGACAGATGTTTTAGTCGTTTTCCCAACCTTTTCAGAATTTATTTGGACAATTTTGATCAGCTGCAAATGGTAGACAGACAGACGGCTAATTTGATTTCTGGATCGCCGTCCCCTCTTGTTGAGAAATTAAGGGAGCATTATGCCGAGTGCATGCTCCCAAGACACCCCAAAAAGTCGGTTCAACAAGCGGTGGCTGCAGAAGTGCAGGGCGCGTGGCTTGACGGGGAACAGGGGACCATGAGTGCGAAGCCTACAAAGGTTGCAAAGTATTTGAAGCTAGCACTGGAAATTCTTGAACGAGGTCAAGCTTCTCAAAGGGAACTACAAGTGGTTGGAGGAGGACTGGTTTACATTTCTATGTTCAAACGCCCATTACTGTCCAGTCTTAACCAAATTTGGAGAATGATTGTAGACGCTGAAGGTCATTCCCCTTACAAAAGGATGTGGTTGAGAAGGGAGGTAATGATTGAGCTCATACGATTTGTTGGCCTTAGCCCCCTTGGTTTCACAAATTTTAGAAGTCATTTTGACCCCATGGTGACAGCAAGCGATGCTTCTTCGAGTGGAGGGGGCATTTGTATGAGTAAAGGTCTTAGTCCATATGGTCATGCCGCAAGTCTTTGTACAGTTAGGGGAGACATACCAGAAGAACTGGAGATCTCCCAACTTTTGGCCATCGGATTATTTGACGGGATTGCAGCACTGAGAGTTGCTCTAGATGTGGTGAAGGCGCCAGTGGCAGGCTATATCGGGGTCGAGAAGAATGCTGAAGCGCGACGTGTTGTAGAAGCGCATTTTCCGGATAGCGAGCACCTTGACGATGTGGAGCAGGTGACAGAGGAGGTAGTGAAAGGCTGGGCCCTAAAATACTCGGCGGTGAGTCTAGTATTGGTGGGGTCAGGGCCTCCCTGTCAGGGCGTCTCAGGATTGAACGCAGACCGCCAGGGAGCCTTGCGTGACAAGCGAAGCTGCCTGTTCAAACATGTGCCCCGGATCCTTCAGCTATGCAGGCGGAACTTCCCCTGGGCTCAGGTTCATGGTCTGACAGAGAATGTGGCCTCAATGGATCAGCAAGACTGTCAATCGATGAATGACGAGTACGGTTTCGCCCCTTGGTTCATTGATGCCAACGAGATCAGCCTATGTCATAGGCCGAGACTCTACTGGATTAGTTGGGAGCTGCAGGAAGCCCCCGGTGCAGAGATTTACCTGGGGTCTAATGGCAAATTGCCCCTGCTGGGCCAAGTGCGACTGTTTGGGGAGATCACCAAGGAGGCCTTCTTGGAGAAGGGATGGAGCATGTCTGCAGACAAAGCCCTCCCAACTTTCACCACTTCTCGACCGAGCCCTTTCCCACTACGCCGACCTGCGGGGTTGCGGGATTGCGATGAGACAACCCGAAAGAGGTGGGTTGAAGATCGTCATAGATTCCCTCCAAACCAATACCTGAGTTGCCATTGTCTCCAAGATGGTCAGGGGAATCTTCGGGTTCCTAACATAAGGGAGCGAGAAGTCATCATGGGCTTCGCTCCTAACTATACCACTCAGTGCTTCAAGAAAGGAGCACAAGGAAGTCAAGAACATGAAGATTGTAGGTTGAGCCTGGTAGGCAATTCGTGGAGTGTGGGAGTAGTGGCTTGGTTGTTGACGCAACTACTCCATCCGCTGGGCTTCATTGAAAGGCTCTCCGTGCAAGACATCATCAACAGACTCACCCCAGGACACAGTGTGGATCTTCAGTCTTTGTTATTGCGACCACCGCTCACCCATGGCGTGAAAACCTTCTCTCCCAGCGCCTTACTGGTAAGCAAGTTGTCAGGTTTGGTGTCATTAAAGGGAGAGGATTTGATGCTGCAAAGTAGCACGGAAGCCCCAGTCCGCTACCATCGCTTACGGGCCGGGGTGCCATCCAAGCTATGGCGCTGGCAAGCCGTCAGTGGGTGGACTTGGACTGGAGACCCCGAACATATCAATGTACTAGAAGCGCGCGCGGTGTTGACCACTGTCAAGTGGAGGGTCAATCAACGTAAACAAACAAATCTGCGTTGCGTGCACCTTGTTGACAGCCTAGTTGTACTACATGCACTTACAAGGGGGAGATCATCCTCTAGAAAAATGCGGCGTACTATCATGCGGATTAGTGCTTATTTGTTTGCTACAGGCCTCCAACCAACATGGGCTTACGTGGACACCAAGGACAACCCAGCAGACCGACCGTCTCGCTGGGGGGCAAAAGTTAAAAAGAAATGGTTAAAGTGGTGAACACGTTGATGGGGGCAGCAAGCAAGGAAAGCCGTAAAGAAGTACGCAAAAAACTAGGCACACTCAAAAGTCTCACCGTACAAGAAAAGACTAAAGAGCGCTACAAACTTGGTTTGACAGGTTTCTTTGACTTCCTTCGTGCTGAAGGGCTGAAGCTTCCCACTAAACGAGATGCTATGGATGGTTTGGTCTCGGATTACCTCGAATACATGTGGTCTCAAGGTGAGGGAAGAGCAGCTGCCAGTACATTCATGGCCGCACTTCAGGATTATGACCCCAAGCTCAAGTCCAATTTGCCAGGATCATGGAGGTTAATGAAGACATGGTCTACACATGAGTTACCTTCCCGTGCTTCCCCTATGACTGAAGCCGTATTGCGTGCAATGGTTGGCTGGGCAGTGATGCATGATTATGAAACGTTTGGACTTAGCTTGCTAGTTGGTTTTTACGGTTTGCTTAGGACCGGAGAACTGCTGGCCCTGCAAGCTTGGCAAATACACATGAATTCTGCCTTGCAACCTGCTGTCATAAACTTGGGTTTTACCAAAGGAGGTAAACGCCAAGGTGCGGCAGAGAGCGTTACCATTACTGAAAAGCATGTCCTAAGTCATTTGTGGGCGTGGAAGTGTCGTGTGCCACAACACACCTTCCTCACTTTAAAACCCCACGCATGGCGCTCCCTTTTTAGTGAATGTATTCAGAAACTCAAGTTAGAAGGTAGGGAGTTTCGTCCTTACTCTTTGCGTCGGGGGGGGCGACTCATCTCTTCGTCAAATGTGGTAGTCTGGATACAGTACTACTAGCAGGTCGTTGGACGGCTTTGAAAACTGCCCGTATTTATTTAAATTCGGGCTTGGCTATGTTATCCGAATTGCAAATCCCCAAGCCTTTACTTCATCCGTTTCACAAACTTTTTTTCACTTGGATTCAATCCAAGCCCTCGCTTGAGCCAGCTTCCCCTAAGGGAAGCAGGACAGGGGGACGTGGAAAGGTGAAGCGCAAAGCTCCAAAATAGTGTCAAGGGAGGGGGGAGAAGGTCTGAAAACTCTGAAATTTCAAACAAGTATCCGTTTCTCTTTTTTCTAGATTGTCAAAGTGTCTAGGGGCTGTTTTTCTTCGGAGTGGCAAAGGACTCAGCAGACACTTAGGGGGGTGTTTGCTTCTCGCGGTGTGGCGGAGAAGTAACCACTAGAGCCCCTTTTCTGAAGGTTGTGATCCTTCAATTGACAATCAAAATTTAACCACGTTATTTCTATTTAACTTTGACAGAATTGGCCTGCAAAGCATGTAAAAAAGCTGGTGTTGAGAGTGTTTGAATTCACGCTCACGGGTTTAAACATGATAACACCATTCTTTTTACATTGTAGCTCTGGCTTCAGGCCCAACCCCCCCTCCCAAGGAAGCGCAAAGCTCCAAAATAGTGTCAAGGGAGGGGGGAGAAGGTCTGAAAACTCTGAAATTTCAAACAAGTATCCGTTTCTCTTTTTTCTAGATTGTCAAAGTGTCTAGGGGCTGTTTTTCTTCGGAGTGGCGAAGGACTCAGCAGACACTTAGGGGTGTGTTTGCTTCTCGCGGTGTGGCGGAGAAGTAACCACTAGAGCCCCTTTTCTGAAGGTTGTGATCCTTCAATTGACAATCAAAATTTAACCACGTTATTTCTATTTAACTTTGACAGAATTGGCCTGCAAAGCATGTAAAAAAGCTGGTGTTGAGAGTGTTTATATATATATATATACGCATCATATCCACCAGCAAACTCATGCCCAGATGTCTCGTTTACCATTGAACAACGCAGCAGGAACCACAGCAGACACGAAGCATTGACCAGTGGCTTGGCCAATGCCCGCAGCCTGCCCACTATGGGCCTGTCAGAAGCTCAGAGCGGATGCTGTGGGATCAGGAATGTTGAGATTCCCTCCACTTCGATGAGGAAATGGCCTGATGTAACTGATTTAACTTGGGTTGAACAACACTTGGTAATTAAGCAGCAATACTCTAGAGAGAACTTTGTCTAAGAGGGGCGATGGATGGCGATGATATGATGATGTATGATGGGTACTTGTATGCCTCAAAGTGTTATAGACTCCGTTTCTTGGGCACTCTGAGGAGAAAAGAAACATGTTGATGCTGCCTCATTGGGCATGCTATCTGTGCTGATATCTAAGAATCTCAGAAAAGGTTCTGTTCGCCTTATTTTTTTAAAAATATTTTTCACATCTACCAAAGATACAGAACGCACTTCACCTATCTTCACCGAATTTTACGGACCTTGAGCAACTTGCCCACCGTGCCGCACCGTGCCGAGCCCGTTGGCTTGCGCTGGGCCTGAAAAATCATGAGCACATCATGGAGGCGAAACTTGGAGATAAACTCAGCTTCACAGATTGGGTCTGAGAATCTAACATGTTTTTTTCTCAAACAGGTTTTTATCACAACTTTCAGCAATTATTTTTAGAATAAAACACACACAGACACAATGTAAATTGTTCATAAATTCAGCCACCAAAGTTGTGGCTGTCGCTTTTCAGTTCCGTTAAGAAGACGGAACTGGCCGGAGAAACCTCCGTGGCGCTAAAAAGGATGAGAAACGTCGACACCTTTGGAGCCGTCATTGGCTGTAAGTTGCCTTGTGCAGAGCTCGGCCCCAGCAACCAGTGGCAGAGAAGCCCAGCTGCCCAGTTTTTTTGTTGCAGAAACCAACAGGGATTAAGAAAGTCATGAAAGGTCAATGTTTTTCAATGTTTTTCATACCCAAATCCGTGAACATCGGTGGATCATCGGTGGGGAAGCCTCCAATTGTGCCATGGCAATGGTAGATCTGGCAGCTTGAACGTGAAGCTCCAGGTCTGGTTGTAGGAGTTAGTGACCACGGGTCAATCTGCGAAGAGTTTGATGGTCAAAGCACTCCGGGACCTCCATTTTGTTTTCCAAACAATCCATATCAATCCATCTCATTCATCCTAATTTAGCTATGATGAAGCTTTCTTAGGTGAAGAACATCTCCACTTCACGGGAAAGTTGTAGACCTGGGTGACCTAAATGGATGATCTTCCATGACGAAGGGCTGCAGGATCCCAGTGCGATTTGTCTTTTCGGATAGGCCAATGTACTCGGAGGAGTATCGAACTGTAGTGCCAATCTCAGCACACTCCCCATCAGTCCCATCTCAACATCTATAGTTTGTCTATAGTCTATACTATGATTTTGCTATGATGATTCTATTATTTAAGGGATTTTAAGGGTGTTTTCCATACTTGCCATGAATCGCAGGGCAGGAAGCATCAGCAAAATCATGACAAAGATCTGTATAGATTGTATGGCACCAACGGGTCATTTCGCTTCCAGCTGAGGGGATCGTCATTGCTTCAGTGGTTCTCTGTCTCTCCTGCTGCTGTCAGATCCTCAGCATGGCGCTCTGGATCAGCGGATCAGCGGCTCAGTCAGCGATCGCAGCAGGTTTGGCCCTTTGTGGCGTCGTCACGTTCTTCTGTGTGAACGGCATCCCACAGTGCCTCGGCCCTCGGCAACGTTTTCAGATGTTTTCATCTTTCCCAGACCTTTCAAGATCTTTGGAGCTGTCCAGGTGTTAGGTTTATTGTTGCTTTATACCTCAATATAAATCATGTCCATGTGTGTTTCGGGTTATTATTTTGAAGGTCCGCAATAAGCAAGTCTTGTCTCTCACACCACGACCTGCCAAGCTGTCTGAACCTTCCGGGCTGGCAGAGGTGGCAATCAATGAAACAATCAGATACATTCAGATAATTTTCAGATATTTTTTCAACAAGTGTGTTTTAGCAATGTAACCCCCCTCCATCTTATACAATCCACACAGAATCCACACATCTCGGCCGCACCACAGAGGCGTTTCCACAAGCCGCTGGAGGATGCAGTGGAGGACCGGCCAGCTGGAACTGCTGCTTCTTACAGCCGGAGCCGTCCTGTGAGGAGCTGCAGAAAAAGGGCTATTTGCCCAGATTGGATGAAGATTTGAGAGGACTGAAATGGACTGAAATGGACTGAATATATCAGAATATATCAGAATATTTATATACGTATATATATATATCAGAATATATCAGAATATATCGGAATATTTATATACGTATATATATATATATATATCAGAATATATCAGAATATATCAGAATATATCAGAATATATCAGAATATTTATATACGTGTATATATATATATATCAGAATATATCAGAATATATCAGAATATATCAGAATATTTATATACGTATACATATATATATCAGAATATATCAGAATATATCAGAATATATCAGAATATATCAGAATATATCAGAATATATCAGAATATATCAGAATATATCAGAATATATCAGAATATATCAGAATATTTATATACGTATATATATATATATCAGAATATATCAGAATATATCAGAATATATCAGAATATATCAGAATATTTATATACGTATATATATATATATCAGAATATATCAGAATATATCAGAATATATCAGAATATATCAGAATATTTATATACGTATATATATATATATATATATCAGAATATATCAGAATATATCAGAATATATCAGAATATTTATATACGTGTATATATATATATATATCAGAATATATCAGAATATATCAGAATATATCAGAATATTAATATACGTATATATATATATATCAGAATATATCAGAATATATCAGAATATTTATATACGTATATATATATATATATCAGAATATATCAGAATATATCAGAATATATCAGAATATATCGGAATATATCAGAATATATCAGAATATATCAGAATATATCAGAATATATCAGAATATTTATATACGTATATATATATATATATCAGAATATATCAGAATATATCAGAATATATCGGAATATATCAGAATATATCAGAATATATCAGAATATATCAGAATATATCAGAATATTTATATACGTATATATATATATATATATATCAGAATATATCAGAATATATCAGAATATATCAGAATATATCAGAATATTTATATACGTATATATATATATATCAGAATATATCAGAATATATCAGAATATATCGGAATATTTATATACGTATATATATATATATCAGAATATATCAGAATATATCAGAATATATCAGAATATTTATATACGTGTATATATATATATATCAGAATATATCAGAATATATCAGAATATTTATATACGTATATATATATATATATGTATCAGAATATATCAGAATATATCAGAATATATCAGAATATATCAGAATATATCAGAATATTTATATACGTATATATCAGAATATATCAGAATATATCAGAATATTTATATACGTATATATATATATATATCAGAATATATCTGAATGCAGAGAAGCTGAAAGAAGCTGAAAGAACTTGGAACCGAAAAAAATGATCCAACATTTTTTCCAAGGATGGATCTATGATCTCTTCAAAAAGGGCCAAGAGCATGTGACGAGAGTCGATAGATTTCCTGCTGTCATACTGATTGCCCTGGGTGCACAGCTTTTACCACACGTTTCCACACGTTTTTTGCAGGAGAAGTGGAGGAAAAACTTCCAGACTTGGAGGACCCATAGTGACATAGTGTAACACAGAGGGACCCAGAGGGACCCAGGGCTTGCTGGATCTGCAACTGCGAGCACCGAAAGGACCTCGAAGAAGTGGAGAAGAAACTGGAGAACGTCCTTTCGCCCAAAGTGGTGAACTGAACGTCCAAAGTGAGCCAAAGTGCCACAAAATTCACGCAGGGAGCCATCGATGGCCAAGAATCCACGTGAATCCACGTATCAAAATTGAGTTTCAGTAGGAATCCGCTTGCAGCCTGCAGCAACATTTTGAATGTTTTGGGGCAGATTGATGCATCATTTTTTGACAAGGGAAACCATGGGAACCACATTGAAGAATGCTAAAGAGATGCCACAGAAGAATCATGGGCGAGTCATGGGATCGACTGGGGTCGACTGGTGACCGGACACAGCTCAGATGCAGTCTCTCTCCGCTGTGCATCGGCAAACAGATGCAGCAAGGTCCAGTACCATCCGCAGGGTTCGCTCATGTTCGCACTGGAAGCGATAAGACTTGAGAAGAATTCCATAGAATTCCAGTTTCCGTCAAATTTCCATCAAATTTCCGTCAAATTTCCATCAAAATTGATCCACTCAGAACTGATCACACGATCACAGCATTTTCAGCTTCCAGGGCACCAGGGCACGACATGTTCTGAGCGCCGGGTCTGTCCCCAGATGGGGACCAAGCCATTCTCCATGCGCTCTGCTTTCCAGCCGTGTCATGGCCCAGGTGCCCATCAGGGCGGGTGGGATGTTGGGATGTTGGGATGTTGGGATGTTGGGATGTTGGGATGTTGGGATGTTGGGATGTTACAGTGGTTTGACTCGGTTTGACTTAGATCATCTTGGATTCCGTCTTGGATTCCGTCTTGGATCTTAAATCATCTTAGATATCGATTTACAGAGGCGAGTGGATACTGCAAAAACTCTGACCTCTGAACCGCCGGAAGTTTCTATTCAGAGTCACTGCATTTCGCTGTCGCAGCTTGAAAGTTCAGGAGTTGCAAGACGCTGCAGCTGCCTCGAACTAAGTTGATGACATCACCGTGACATCACGCCCTGGACCTTTATTTATGCCTTGTTTGAATTGTTTGTTTATTTTGTTTATGGTCTGTTGGACAGAAACCGTTGCACAGAAACCGTTGCACAGCAACCGTTGCACGAGGTCACTCCTGCCCAAGGTGCCAGACAAGCTTTGCATCCAACCAACGGCTTGGATTCATGTGTCTTAACGATATATCACCTACCAATACCTCCCATATATCAATGTTTAGTGCATCAATGGATAATGTATCGTGGCTATACGGATTTTCAGGTCTAAGATAGATTAAGATAGCCCATCTTTTGGGGGGATGAACCAAACGACAGCTGGTCGCGAGGTTCCAACGGCGTGTGGAGGAGGGATTTGATTTGACAGTTGGTGTGACACTGCCAGGGAATGTCGTCCAGATCTCATGTCCGTCATATCCGTCACGAGTCATATCATGATATCCATTGATATCCCATGTCTCCCATGATGCCAGACACATATCTGAAGATACAGACTCTTTGGACCAAATGACATTGGATCCAACTGGTTTCTTGCATCAAAAGTTTGGTACACTGGTATCTACATGTCTATTGAAATCCCATTGAAATCTGCTGAAGGAGATCCTTGAGGAATACCTTTCGAGCACTCAGCGCGGCTAAACTCAATTCAGATATTGGTATGGCGGCCATCCGCTGGACGCAATGCTATGTGTCATTGAGTGCTATTTATGTTGGAAAAAAGGATCTCTGTGACATAGGGTATATTATGATTATTACCAACCCTACTGTATATGATTATCATGTCACAGAGATTATATGGTATATTTAGACTACATTATGTTCAAAGTAAATTTAGGGTATATTATGATTATTATGGTATACTTCCTGTATATCACAATTTACCATCCCCACTGCCCACATTCCACATGCCCATTTCAGAATGCTATGTTTCAGTTCAATGACTCAATGACTGTTTATTCACCAACGTAGCCTTTTACCATCTTCCACCAATTTCCTTTTTCACCTAAACTACTCATTCTACATGCCAGTTTCTATATGTTTCTATGAAACACCTCACATTTCAGACATTTTCGGACATTTTCCCATCCCATCCCAGTGCCGGAAATCGACATGTCCGAAATCGCTGTAGGATTGGGGCGATGAAATCGAGAAACGCCACTTCGATGGAGATTTCGGGGCGAGCGCTCGCCATGCTGTGGCCGCTGGCCAAGAAAATCTCCAACAGATACACCATGGGGATGATCCAGAGAGGCTAAATATATCATAATTATATCTAAATATGGCCAAATCATTACAGTGTATATTAAAGTATATATGAATCATCAAAGGTGATCATTGAGGTATCTTTTTGTAGATTGGGTTTCCAAAGGAACTCCGTTTTTTTTCGGTGCATTCGAATTCCGAGGAACAGCACCGGAATCTCATCTCTCAGGTGACCCGGACATGCTCTGGGAGGATTGTGGAACTTTTCGCTACTTGATGCTAAATATTCAATGATAATAGCTCAGTTTAAATGATATTGAATGATATTCTCTGATTTTAAGTGATATGAGATATTAGATGATATCAGATGATATTAAATGATATTGCATGATATGCAATGATCCAAATTCTGGCTTAAAGATATCATAGAGAATATGTGAAAGACCACGCAATCATAAAAAAACATAGAATCAGCAGGAAGTTTGGGTTTTCCACTCAGGAAAGGTGAAGGAAAGGTTTCGCAAGAGCCAGTATTCCTTTATTTATTCGACTGGACGTTGCCGTGAGTTTTTCCAATTTTGGCCACCCAAATCCACCAACAGACTCTGCAAAATGGTGCACTTATTATGTTCCACAAATCATCAGATCACTTCCCAATATCATAATATCAGGCTAGTGAACCATGTTTTTTTTCCATGTTTGGATGGTTCACTAATGACTCACTAATGGTTCACTTCAGAAAGTCCATAAAAATTGACTCAGGCCTCGCGCATCGGTGGCGAGTTGAGTTCCGCGGCCTTCCAATTGGTGGAGGAAGCCGCAGGGCGGAACCAGCCCTTGGAGCCTTTGGAGGAGATCCCGGAGGCCTTCTTCTGTGCTCGGAACGCCTAGGGATGAGGATGGGCTTGATGGGCTTGGTGTGAAACTCACCAAAAATGGATGGGCTTAGTATGATACTGTAATGAATGGGCTAATGATACTTATGGCTTAGTTAATCTCTATGGAATGATTGGAATGGATGGTTTCCTGTGAAATGAATGGACTCGGACATACCACGCAGATCCAATCGGTGAACGTTTTTCTGCCCATTTCACTCGCCAAAGACTCGGTGAAATTTGCTCATTTCTGCGCAAACCCAGGCGAGTCTGGAGAAATGCCAGGGCTATGGTGAAGTTCAACATGACAATCTAGTGATTCTGTTGCAATAAAATGACGACACATTTCTAGTAATCCCAGATATCCCAGGCAGACTGGAACATAAGCATATTGCCATCATATTACCATTGCCTTCCATAACATTCCATAACTCCATTACCATCCCTACCATCCCTTACACAATTTCCATCAATTTCCATTGGATGTGGTTGGGAATGATGGAATGATTTTCCGTTCACCGAGGCCGAGCCAAGACCTGTGGAGCAAAGACTCCCAGCGGATTCCAGAGGTCGCAGCGACTCGGCGACAGGTGCAGCTGGGAGGCTGGAAATGTGGATTTCTTCAGCTCGGATGCTGGTGGTGATGGTGGTAGTGGTGGTAGTGGTGGTAGTGGTAGTGGTGGTGATGATGTTGATGATGATGATGATGATGATGATGTGCGGATGGATACCAAACTGCAAGTCTTGCAGGGAAAGAAGGAAGTGTTGAAGTGTGATTGGGAGTTCTAGCTTGGCTGCAAAACGCATCCATGTCCTGAATGATGAGATCCAGGAAACTTCAACTGGAAAACTGGGCTTAATCAAAGTTGGTTTATCCACATTTTCCCCACATTTTCCCCATATTTTTGGCCAACTTGTTTTATACAAACCATTTCTGAACTTGAAATCCGAAGAGTTCACCCTAAAAATCTTTGGCGATGGGTCGTTTTCCAATGTTTTCCAACAGCCCCGAGGTGACACGTCGGATCTGTGGGAAGAGGTGAGTTCAGTGCAAGCGGAGCTCCAGCAGCACCACGAGATGCGGCGAGGTCAGGGGACCCCGAAACCCTTGGTTTCCCTATTGAAAATATGTTAAAATGGCCATGATACACCTGACAAACACAGTCGTAACCACCGTTTTCTTTTTTGGGCTTGGCAGTTGGAAGATTGATTCGAAGATGAAATGTGCCAAATGAACCCCAAGAAAACCCAAAAAACACAACTTGGCCAGGCCCGATTTGATTCTCTAGTGTTCTATCTATTGACACAGAATGTCTGGGACCTTCAGATTTATGAGCACCGGCAACCCACAGTCATTGTGTAATCACCCACACAGGTTTGACATGATTTCTATATTAAGGAAAAACCAGGTTCCACTCATTATTTGTTGGCACATTTTTGGGATTACTTAGCGACTACTTTTTCCCCCCGCAGATTTTGTGGCCAGAATTAGCCAGACCCCTCAGTGGAAGCCACTTTCGCGGTTCAGGTCGAAGTGCTGCACTGAACAGTCAGGTGGCGATGGTAGCGATGGTAGCGATGTCATTGGTGGATTGGATTGTGGATGGGGCAGCACTAGATAGAGGAAATATTATGATTATTATGAACAATCAAGAAATATCAAAATATATCAAGATAAGGACTGCAAACTGTGGATAGTGAAACATAAGTTGAAGCATAAGTTGAAACATCGACTGCTTAAGATTCTGCAGGGTTTCAGCTCTGCCCCCACCTGACAACACCGAGGGACTCAGCCAAGATTTTGGCTCCGCCCCCATGGCCATTGTTGGATGGACTTGGATGGTTTAGTGAAGCCATGTAAAGCCTATGATATATGTTCAAAATGACTAACCATGCCCAACCTATGGACAGTGCTCAGCTTCTTTCAGCTATGATTTCTTCAGTTTCCAGGACGAAAAGCTTCGTTCTCTGAGAAACGAATTGTCTCGCCCGACATGCTTTGTCGATGTTTGGAGAATCTTTGGGAAATGGGCGGCTCCGAAGAAAGGCTTCGGGGCTGATATTTTCCACGAGATGTATAAGATCCATCAAGATCCATTCAGGAGCAAGACCAAAGATACCAAAGTGATCTAGAATGATGATTGTGCATTATAAGTTGAGATCTGTGATGCTGGAATCTACGGTGAAATGAACATGATTAATTAGTATCAAGCTTCAGTTGATCGTTTACATCTGTTCCATGACAGGATGACCAGCCGTTTACAGGTGCAGGAGGTGTGCTGGGTAACAAACATTCCATGCAAGTTCGTCACTTTCAAGTTCCTCCTGGATGATAGATGATGTAAGTGTATGTTGAGAACAGATCATAACAGATCCATTCCTGACAACCGCCAGTTTTCTGCCAATTTCTTGAAGATTTATATTTCCAACGATTTGCCCCATCCTTTTCCATCATTTTTCCAGATCTTCCATGGATTTTGTTCGATCAACGAGGCGCTGGAGAAGCGACATTCTGCAGCTGCCCGGCTGGAAACTGCCGAGCCCGGCCCTAAAAAAATCAATGGATTTCCCTATTTTTGCTATGGCGATTTGGGCGATTTGTGGGCACCTTTGCACCTGGATTGCAGTCTCCCGGATTATCCCCCTATAAACATTATAAACAGAACACAAAGCCACTTGGATTCATTTTGAGAAACTTGAGAAACTCAATGTGCACATTGAACTTTGATTTGAACCCGATGATTTGTGTTATTCTTTGGATATGTTGTTTTCGGGACCCGAAGATCCACCTTTCGAGGCGAGGCCTCGAGTCTTTGCAAGACGCGCATCGTGAATTGAAACAGCCGCCCGGCCATGTCGGATATGTTGGGCATCGCCCGGCCATGTCATGCTTTTGATGCGTGTGATGCTTGTGGTCTTTTCCGGTTCTTCGTTTTTCATGTTTTTTTCTGAAGAAATTACGGCAATTACTTGTGAACAAATTCTTCGGACACTTGGGTTATGGCCTCAAAATCATCAACCCACAAAAAAGTCGTCAGTAAATACTACAATTACTAAAATCACCAATTTTGCGTGGATTTCAAGTTTCCTTCGCTTGTGCACTTGGTCTTGCTCCCTGTCTCACATACATACATGCAAGAATGCATACACTTGCGCATCCCCAACATTGGACTGGTAGTTTCATCCTTTAGTCCTTTAGTTTTTTTTCTACAGATGGAACATAATCATAACCAGCAACATATTAATTACTTTGTTTTGTGGACCACCAAAGACTACCATGTACATAGATACATACATTCATTACATTTAATTATATATATATATGTCATAATACATAGACATAGATACATAGATGAAAACATACACTCATATAAGCCACACAAAACATACATACTTACACACCTACATACATATCTACGTACATGCTACACAGAAAGGCATACCTACAATACCTACATAGCTAGATACGTACATTCTGTCCTAGAATAGGTATGCATTAGTACATAATGATCATAATGCATCGGGTAGGCATGACCTCCGATGTGGCGTTCTGGGCATGTTTCTCGTGATCCGAACCACCGGAAACGACCGGAAAGGGGAGATGGAGATGGAGATGGAGATTCAGGAGGTGTTTCCAAAGTGTTTCCAAACCGGTTCCAGATGGGCAAATTCTACGCATATAATTTAGATGTTGGAATGATCCGGGAATCTGTGTCCCTCAATGCCCCCCTGAACCAGCGAAAACCCGTACCATTGACCCATTGACCCATTGACTTTGTCTTATCTCTTGCTTGACTTTGTCCTATCCCTTTGCATCTCACTTGTCTCCCGTTTGTTCTTTTCTAAATTCCAACTCCTTCCCCATCCCCAACATGGCCACATGTGATACCTGGACATTTGGGAATGCTTCGAATCCATGTTGGCCCAAACTCTGATAGAGAATGTTTGCGCACTTATATAAGCCATGGCAAAGGACGCTGAGGACGCTGAGGCTGATGACTTCGATGCCTTGGATGACGTTGAAACGCTTCCGTGCAATCTGGCATACGTCTTCGTGTGCATCCTCATGCCAACATTGAATGGTGGACTGAACGGCTTTCTTTGGCCAGGCTATAGTCTACATTTTGTAGATATGGATTGGCCACTTGTCATGGCAGGCCAGGTTTCCCGGTGGATGGCTGCGGCTGTCCATGTCCCCATTTTGTAGGCTTCCACTGGGGTTTCCACTGGGATTTCCACTGGGATTTCCACTGGGGGTTCGGTTCCACTGGCCCAAGAGATCCCAAGAGATCCCAATAGGTACAGCGGTGACCAGTGGGTTTCTTCTGCGCGCTGCAACTCAGCAAATGCAACTTCGGGCAGGCCCAACAAACCTTTGGGCATTGAGATGCTCCAGATATGGGTGAAGATTTTCATACTCAACCCCGAAGGTTTCTCTTTATAGAACTCGACCGTTTTTTGAAGATATTCTTGGGATTCCCAATTCGTGACCCATGCGCATAAGATCACATAAGCCTTCACATAAGCTAGTTGATCAAGTTTCTTGCAAGCCCGTCATCTGTACAGAGTTGCAGTTACCACCTCTGCCACGGGCTCCGGATGGTTCCGGATGGTTCCCGTGCCAGGCTACTGGTTGATTGTCCCGCTGGCAGCAGTGCATCTGATTTTTGCCATCTTGGGGTGGATCTACACGACCAGCCTGTGGGCAGTTTTCGCTCAAATTGTCGTGTTCCTGGGTATTGATCCCACCTGCGCCATCGAGGGCATTGCTTTTGATACCTTTGGGGCCTCCGAAGTTCAGGCCAGACAGGCCTCGTCAACGATCTTGTCCATCTTCACCATTGCGGTTGCATCCTCCTGCACGCTCGGAGGTGTTGTCTATGATTTATCTGGCTGGGCGGGGGTCTCTGCCTATCACAGCATTTGTCAAGGGCTTCAACTCCTCCTGATTTGCACGCAGCCAGCAGTTCATGAGTCGTTCAGGCAGGTTTTCTTCGCATCTCCAGATCCAAAGGCAGCAATCCCAAATCCGGAGGAAGCTTCAGGCAACACGGCAGAGAAGGCGTTCGACCATGTTGTGCCACAAGTTGTGCCACAAGTTGCGCCAGTCGAGTTGATTCAAGCCGCCATGAACTTACCTGGTGCAGTGGAATCTGCAGAGGAGCTTGAAGTTCAGGAAGTGACTGCCAGATCTGGTCTGCAGTCACAAAGTGAAAGTGGAAGGCATGGATCGCATGAAAGAGAAATCGCCAACCCCCTACTCAGTTGGGACACCCTACCTGGGAAACTGATGTTCAACATGCGGTGTTTGCTGATGATATCTACATGTTCACATGTTCCAGTCAAGAGCCATGGTAAATAGCATGGTGATATCATACTGGTACATGTGCTGAACACCGCTTTTGTGTTGGTTTCTTGGCCTTGTGTTTCTTCGCCACAAGCAAAAACTACGCCAGCAGGTTGGAGAAGCATCGCTCAACAAATCGCTCCTCAAGTCACTCACACCGTTGGACAAGAGGTTCAGCCCACTCTCATGGTTCGAGAAAAAGGTCTGTTGCTGGGCAGCCACAGCGCAGACTCGTGTTGTGAAACTTGAGATGATGACTCTATAATTCTATAGCTCATGAGCTGCTGGTGGTCTTCAATACACACAAGTTGTTTCTGCATGCTCTTCTGATGATAGCTAATGTATGTTATTGTATATTCATGTATATTATCTGTATATTAATTTTGTTGATGTTGATGATGCTGATGATGCTGATTCCCAAATGATCGATAAATCATCAGTTGTAAGATGTTACTCAGGCTCATCGAGGTGGCGGCCGCACGACACGCACGAGCGGCAGCAGCGCGGTGACCGCGGCTACCCGGAAGTCCGTTCAAACCAAAGGCACCAAACATTCCACGAAAACGGGGCTGCTTGGTGTGAAAATCGGCATCCTTTCAGGTCTGAATAGAGATCTTGATATTTTGAGATTTCTTGAAATTATGTATGTTGAGTCAAGGAAGTTTGAAAGTCTAACTTCCGCGTTACGGATCTTTGACTTCCGTGTTGCGGATCTTTGGAAGTCATTGAAGTCCCACAGCAAAGAAGTCGCAAAGAAATCCCACAGCAAAGAAGTCACAAAGAAGTCCCACAGAAAAGAAGTCCCACAGCAAAGAAGTCTCACGAAAACTTTGTTTTCACATCGTCAACTTCCAGTTTTTGAGGGGAGTCTCGCACGACAGCTTCGTTTTCACATCTTCAAGTTCCAGTTCCTGAGGGAATTCCCACGCGAAAGCTTCGCTTTTCATCGCTGCGGCTGTCATTTTTGAGGGATTTCTCGCACGAAATGCGTTTTTGAGAGATAGTGGATGCGCGAAATAATGTGTCTTGCAGCACAAAACGTGCCTCGGAAGATGGATGAGGAAGGTCTGCCGCGCGACGGTTTCAAAATGGTCTCGGCTATGTTCGGATCATGGTCGGCCATGTTTTCACATCTTCAAGTTTCAGTTTTTGAGGGAAGTCTTGCGCGAACGCTTCGTTTCACGGCTTGATTTTCAAGTTTTTGAGGGAAGTCTCGAACAAAAGCCTCGTTTTCACAAGTTGAAGTTGCAGGGTTCCAGCAATGAGTTTTCGTAATTAGATTTTTCTGTATTTGGCGCTTTTCATTTTCCGTCTAAATCCCTTTTAAAAGGCGCAAACTCGTACTTTTTTCGGCTTTGGCGTCGAGATCCCGTTTTGGAGCAGACTTTGGGCCAGAGAAGAGGTGTTACGAACAAACTTTACCATCTGTGTCCAATCATTATTAAAGGGCTACGCCCTCTGCCGCCAACCCCTGGACACTGGAGGTTCATGTCTGTGGGAAACTGAGTGACCAACGGACGCTGGTGCAGGTGCGCAATCTTGTTTCGTCGCTTGTTTTTTTGTGCTGTCTCATGGCAACAGAACATCTAAAATGTATGCAAGCAAAGGAAGTTTCGAAGTCAAACTTCTTACAAGAGGGACAGATGGAAAAGCAGAGACGGGAAGAGTCAGAGAAGAGCAGAGAAGAAGCAAGAAGATCAGAGAAGAGAAAGGGTCAGAAGAAAGACGATGCAGGCGCGCGAAAAGGTAGAAAAGTCGCGAAGCACTGTGTGTTGACAATGATCTGTGGCTCCGGAGGGTCGAAAAGTGGGCTTGCTCCACGATACGGACACTAACGACACTCACTCACTACACCACACGACACTACACTACACGACACCACACTCCATCAGCTGCAACCACAACTACAACTACAACGACAGTACATTACAGTATATATAACACGTCACTACAGGAATGCCATGACACTACGCGACACGACTCCACTACACACGCAGCAGTACAGGACACGACAGTACGGGACACGACAGCGCATTGCACGCATGACACCACACCGCAACGACTGCAACTGCACCGCACTAATTGCACGACAGCACAAGTACAACTCCATTACGCTACAACTAGCTTCAAACCTTCTATTTGCTTGCCTTGCTGCACTGCTGGCTGCCGGCTTGCTTGCTTTCGTTTGGCACAGCTCGGGTCCAAGGGCGGTGTCGCAGAGCCAAAACAACATGGCAGTGAAGGATGGATCGGGCCCGCGCCCAGCAGCCCAGAGGGCCAAACGTTGCTTTCTGAACTGCCTAGAAACTAGCTTCAAACCTTTAATCCAAAACTAGCTTCAAACCTTCTATTTGCTTGCCTTCCTGCACTGCTGGCTGCCAGCTTGCTTGCTTTCGTCTGGCACAGCTCGGGTCCAAGGGCGGTGTCGCAGAGCCAAAAAACCATGGCAGTGAAGGTTAGATCGGGCCCGCGGCCGGCAGCCCAGAGGGCTAAACGTTGCTTTCTGAACTGCCTAGGATCTAGCTTCAAACCTTCAATCCAAAACTAGCTTCAAACCTTCTATTAGCTTGCCTTCCTGCACTGCTGGCTGCCAGCTTGCTTGCTTTCGTCTTGCACAGCTCGGGTCCAAGGGCGGTGTCGCAGAGCCAAAACACCATGGCAGTGAAGGGTGGATCGGGCCCGCGGCCGGCAGCCCTGAGGGCCAAACGTTGCTTTCTGAATTGCCTATAGATACTAGCTTCAAACCTTCAATTGAAAACTAGCTTCAAACCTTCTATTTGCTTGCCTTCCTGCACTTCTGGCTGCCGGCTTGCTTGCTTTCGTTTGGCGCAGCTCGGGTCCCTAGAAACTAGCTTCAAACCTTTAATCCAAAACTAGCTTCAAACCTTCTATTTGCTTGCCTTCCTGCACTGCTGGCTGCCAGCTTGCTTGCTTTCGTCTGGCACAGCTCGGGTCCAAGGGCGGTGTCGCAGAGCCAAAACACCATGGCAGTGAAGGACGGATCGGGCCTGCGGCCGGCAGCCTAGAGGGCCAAACTTTGCGGCCAAACGTTGCTTTCTGAACTGCCTAGAAATTAGGGTCAAACCTTCAATCCAAAACTAGCTTCAAACCTTCTATTAGCTTGCCTTCCTGCACTGCTGGCTGCCAGCTTGCTTGCTTTCGTCTGGCACAGCTCGGGTCCAAGGGCGGTGTCGCAGAGCCAAAACACCATGGCAGTGAAGGACGGATCGGGCCCGCGGCCGGCAGCCCTGAGGGCCAAACGTTGCTTTCTGAATTGCCTATAGATACTAGCTTCAAACCTTCAACCCAAAACTAGCTTCAAACCTTCTATTTGCTTGCCTTCCTGCACTGCTGGCTGCCAGCTTGGTTGCTCTCGTCTGGCACAGCTCGGGTCCAAGGGCGGTGTCGCAGAGCCAAAACACCATGGCAGTGAAGGGCGGATCGGGCCCGCGGCCGGCAGCCCAGAGGGCCAAACGTTGCTTTCTGAACTGCCTAGAAACTAGCTTCAAACCTTCAACCCAAAACTAGCTTCAAACCTTCTATTTGCTGGCCTTCCTGCACTGCTGGCTGCCGGCTTGCTTGCTTTCGTTTGGCACAGCTCGGGTCCAAGGGCGGTGTCGCAGAGCCAAAACAACATGGCAGTGAAGGATGGATCGGGCCCGCGCCCAGCAGCCCAGAGGGCCAAACGTTGCTTTCTGAACTGCCTAGAAACTAGCTTCAAACCTTTAATCCAAAACTAGCTTCAAACCTTCTATTTGCTTGCCTTCCTGCACTGCTGGCTGCCAGCTTGCTTGCTTTCGTCTGGCGAAGCTCTGGTCTCTTGCCCCTTCTTCTCTGACGCGCTCCCCCTGCTGTCGGCAGGGGTCGGCGGATTATTCCAGGATAAGACAATATTTCTTACGAATTTTGATGCTGATATTGTGTTTGGTTTTTAACCAGTATCACTCATAACTGATTGTACACGTATTTTTGGTGAAGATATTTAACTGAAGCAGTACATCAAGAGAATAATATCTATGAAGGCACAGCAAACGTTACACTTACGATACGTTTCTGAAAATATTATGAATATGGCTGTTCATGGATGTAAATATAATCATTTTGTATATGAATATGAACAATGGCATTATTTATATCATTCGTTTGTTTATCCTTGGGATTTTAAACAATATTGTGAATATGCAATAAAGCATTTAATGAACAAAAAACAAATAATGTAAATGGTTTTAACATCAAATTTATTAAATGAAAAACTCTCTATTTCACGTTTAAAAAAATATGGGTTCACCATGTGGTATCTTAAATACATTAGAATAACATAGACCCGGGCAAGCCGGGGGCGGAAGTTTCCCAAACATAAATGACCTATAGTTCCAAGACAACCTGTCCCGACCGTGTCCTTCCCTCGACACTCCACACCTCACACTGCACACTGCACTCTTCGCACTCCAAACTTCAAACTTCACACTCCACACTTCACACTCACTTCTCACTTCTCACTGCTTCCTTCACACTCCAAACCTCACACTTCACACTTCACACTGCACACTTCACACTTCACAGTCCACACTTCACACTTCACACTTCACACTTCACTTCACACTTCACACTTCACACTCCACACTTCTCACTTCGCACTTCACACTTCACACTTCACACTCCACATTTCACACTTCTCACTTCTCACTGCTTCCTTCACACTCCAAACTTCACACTTCACACTTCACACTTCTCACTTCGCACTTCGCACTTCACACTCCACGCTTCACAGTCCACACTTCACACTTCTCACTTCACACTTCTCACTTCTCACTGCTTCCTTCACACTCCAAACTTCACACTTCTCACTTCGCACTTCACACTCCACACTTCACAGTCCACACTTCACACTTCTCACTTCTCACTGCTTCCTTCCCACTCCAAACTTCACACTCCACTTCACACTTCACACTTCTCACTTCGCACTTCACACTCCACACTTCACTCACACTTCACACTTCACAGTCCACACTTCACACTTCTCACTGCTTCCTTCACACTCCAAACCTCACACTTCACACTTCACACTTCACACTGCACACTTCACACTTCACAGTCCACACTTCACACTTTCAGTCCACACTTCACACTTCACACTTCACAGTCCACACTTCTCACTTCGCACTTCACACTTCACACTTCACAGTCCACACTTCACACTTCTCACTTCTCACTGCTTCCTTCCCACTCCAAACTTCACACTTCACACTTCACACTGCGCTCTTCGCACTCCACACTTAAACTTCACACTCCACACTTCACACTTCTCACTTCCCACTGCTTCCTTCACACTGCACACTTCACACTGCACTCTTCACGCCCCACACTTCACACTGCTCTAAACCTAAGTGCAACAAAAAAACACTAGCGCCAAAATGGTGAAAATCTGCTAACAAATACATTTCGCAGCCTTCATGCAGCCAGTCCAAGACGATGTACGAGATCCAGCTGCAAAAGACATTACGCATGCAGCCAAAGCAAGAAGCAACCTTGACGCAGCCATTCCAATGCGATCTGCGGAGACTGAGTTGCAAAACACAAGAGAACTACGCGCAATGGCATCGGAAATTGTAGCTCCAAAACCGGATCTCGACGCCAGAGCGAAAAAAAGACGATTTTGAAGCACTTTTTAAAAGGATTTTTAGAAGGAAAATCACTAGCGCCAAAATGGAGAAAATCTGCTAACAAATCCATGTCGCAGCCTTCATGCAGCCACTCCAATACGATTTACGAAGTCCAGCTGCAAAAGACAATAGTATTACGAATGCAGCCACAGCATGAAGCAACCTTGACGCAGCCATTACAATGCGATCTGCGGAGACTGAGTTCCAAAGCACAATAGAACTACGCGCAACGGCGTCGGAAATTGTAGCTCCAAAACCGGATCTCGACGCCAGAGCGGAAAAAAAGACGATTTTGAAGCACTTTTTAAAAGGAAAGAAGGAAAATCACTAGCGCCAAAAACGCATTTCGTGCGAGACTTCCTTCAAAAACTCCTTGACGCAGCCATTCCAATGCGATCTGCGGAGACTGAGTTGCAAAACACAAGAGAACTACGCGCAACGGCGTCGGAAATTGTAGCTCCAAAACCGGATCTCGACGCCAGAGCGAAAAAAAGACGATTTTGAAGCACTTTTAAAAAGGATTTTTAGAAGGAAAATCACTAGCGCCAAAATGGAGAAAATCTGCTGACAAATCACTGTCGCAGCCTTCATGCAGCCACTCCAATACGATTTACGAGATCCAGCTGCAAAAGACAATAGTATTACGAATGCAGCCACAGCACGAAGCAACCTTGACGCAGCCATTACAATGCGATCTGCAGAGATTGAGTTCCAAAACACAATAGAACTACGCGCAACGGCGTCGGAAATTGTAGCTCCAAAACCGGATCTCGACGCCAGAGCGAAAAAAAAGACGATTTTGAAGCACTTTTTAAAAGGATTTTTAGAAGGAAAATCACTAGCGCCAAAATGGAGAAAATCTGCTGACAAAATCACTGTGGCAGCCTTCATGCAGCCACTCCTGTACGATTGACGAGATCCAGCTGCAAAAGACAATAGTATTACCAATGCAGCCACAGCACGAAGCAACCTTGACGCAGCCATTTACACTGCGGGAACAATCCTACAGTTGCAAAGCACAATGGAATTCCATCGGCAACTCATCCACCAGCACCACTTGCAATCCCATTTACAGTGAGGGAACGATCCTAGAGTTGCAAATCACAATGGAATTCCATCAGCAACTCATCCCCCAGCACCACTTGCAACCCCATTTACAATGCGGGAACGATCCTACAGTTGCAAATCACAATGGAATTCTGTCGACCACACATGCACGAAAAACAGTTGAAACCCCATTTACAATGCGGAACCGATCCGAGAATGATCCGAGAATATCCGAGAATGATCCGACCACACACGAGACCGTCTCGCACCCGTCGCACCGCAAAGGTAGATCATCGACGTTCGGGGACGGACTTTGTATGGAAAAACACAGGGTTTCGTGCATCTGCTATCTCTCAAAAACGCATTTCGTGCAAGACTTCCTCCAAAACTCCATCGGCAACTCCTCCACCAGCACCACTTGCAATGCCATTTACAGTGAGGGAACGATCCTAGAGTTGCAAATCACAATGGAATTTCATCGGCAACTCATCCACCAGCACCACTTGCAATCCCATTTACATTGCGGGAACGATCCTACAGTTGCAAATCACAATGGAATTCTGTCGACCACAAATGCACGAAACACAGGTGACACCCCATTTACAATGCGGAACCGATCCGAGAATGATCCGAGAATATCCGACCATGATCCGACCACACACGAGACCGTCTCGCACCCGTCGCACCGCAGAGGTAGATCATCGACGTTCGGGGACGGACTTTGTATGGAAAAACACAGGGTTTCGTGCATCTGCTATCTCTCAAAAACGCATTTCGTGCGAGACTTCCTCCAAAACTCCATCGGCAACTCCTCCACCAGCACCACTTGCAATGCCATTTACAGTGAGGGAACAATTTCTTTGCTAACTCTTTCTGTGACTGACTCTTTTCCTCACTAACTCTTTCTTTGACTAACTTGTTTCTTTGCAAACTCATTCTTTGACTACCTCATATATCCTGACAAACTCTTTCTTTGACTAACTCTTTCCCTCACTAACTCTTTCTTTGACTGACTCTTTCCCTCACTAACTCTTTCTTTGACTAACTCTTTCCCTCACTAACTCTTTCTTTGACTAACTCTTTCTTTGACTAACTCTTTCCCTGACTAACTGTTTCTTTGATAACTCTTTCTTTGACTAACTGTTTCTTTGCTAACTCTTTCCCTCACTAACTCTTTCTTTGACTAACTCTTTCCCTGACTAACTCTTTCTTTGACTAACTCTTTCCCTGACTAACTGTTTCTTTGCTAACTCTTTCTTTGACTAAACTCTTTCCCTCACTAACTCTTTCTTTGACTAACTAACTTCTTCTTCCCTGACTAACTGTTTCTTTGCTAACTCTTTCTTTGACTAACTCTTTCCCTCACTAACTCTTTCTTTGACTAACTCTTTCCTGACTAACGTTTCTTTGCTTCTCTTTCTTTGACTACACTAACTCTTCTTTGACTAACTTTTCCCTGACTAACTGTTTCTTTGCTACTCTTTCTTTGACAACCTTTCCCTCACTAACTAACTCTTTCCCTGACTAACTGTTTCTTTGCTAACTCTTTCTTTGACTACCTCTTTCCCTGACGAACTCTTTCTTTGCTAACTCTTTCTGTGACTAACTCTTTCCCTCACTAACTCTTTCTTTGACTAACTCTTTCCCTGACTAACTGTTTCTTTGCTAACTCTTTCTTTGACTAACTCTTTCCCTCACTATCTCTTTCTTTGACTAACTCTTTCCCTGACTAACTGTTTCTTTGCTAACTCTTTCTTTGACTAACTCTTTCCCTCACTAACTCTTTCTTTGACTGACTCTTTCCCTCACTAACTCTTTCTTTGACTAACTCTTTCCCTGACTAACTGTTTCTTTGGCTAACTCTTTCCCTGACGAACTCTTTCTTTGCTAACTCTTTCTTTGACTAACTCTTTCCCTGACATTCTAAAAGTCCGTAACACGGAAGTTTCTCCCCCTAAACTTCCTTTGACAAACATAATATTTTATTTAATTATTGTTCAGCTGACAATAAATAAATAAAATGTTTAGATATAAATACCGTGATCCCACGTAATCCATCCACCGTTATTCATTTTCAACACATCTCTCTCAAACATTTGTTCCAACGTCAAATTAGTGAGTACAGTAACATTCTTTGTAGATGAATGAACATCCCTGTGAGAGTGAACTGAGAAGAGCCAAGATGAGGCGAGAAGAGCTGAGATCAGCTGGAAAGATGTACGAAGAGCTGAGAAGAGCTTAGAAGATGTGAGAAGAGGAGAGAAGAGATGAGAAGACATGAGACGAGCTGACATGAGCTGCGAAGAGCTGAGAAGAGTTGTGAGAAGAGCTGAGAAAAGGAGAGAAGACAGGAGATGAGATGGGATGGGATGAGATGAAAAATTCTGAGCGGACACAACGTGAGATGAGATGAGATGGGATGACACAGGCTGCGGTGACAATGGAATGCAATGAGCAATTTCAAAGGCAAACTGCGATGCGATGAGATCAGGTGAAATGAGAAAAATCCAACATTCAAGAGACATGGCACCGGAATGGCACATCACGATATTGCCGCTGCAAAGCACAGAAGGCCCGCCTGCACCCTATAGGCACAGTCTTGGTTCCGCTCTATAGGCTATGAGCCTTTCAATTTTGAAACTTCCGCCCCGGGCTTGCCCGGGCACTACTTGTATGATTTATGATTGCTGTATGATGTGTTCTTTGTTTAAATCCACATTGAGGTATCAAGCAAAAGTGATTGGTATCACAGAATTTTCCCATGCCATGCCAAGGCGCACGGTTTTAACCGCCTTTTCGCGGGTGACCACTTTGTCTCAAGCGGGGGAAGACTTTAGCCACCACTTTTTGACTCGCTCCGTGTTGCTGCCAGAGATCGTAGGAGCAACAGGACTGGGCCCACCATGGTGAACCTTCGTTGGGTAGTTTACGGTAGTAGTTCCCCAACAGCAGAAGCTTTGGGGTCTTCAGCCATAGTAAAGGTTTCGGAGCAGACCGGAGCAGCTCCAAAACCCATTCCCCCAAGGTTCCCAGGTTCCAAGTAAAGGTTCCCAGGTTCCCAAGTAAAGGTTCCCAGTTAAAGGTTCCCAAGTAAAGGTTCCCAGGTTCCCAAGTAAAGGTTCCCAAGTAAAGGTTCCCAAGTAAAGGTTCCCAAGTAAAGGCTCCCAAGTAAAGGTTCCCAAGTAAAGGTTCCCAAGGTTCCCAAGGTTCCCTCAAGGTTCCCAAGGTTCCCTCAAGGTTCCCAAGGTTCCACAAGGTTCCCTCAAGGTTCCCAAAAGGTTCCCAAAAGGTCCCCAAAAGGTTCCCTCAAGGTTCCTTCAAGGTTCCCTGCAAGGTTCCCAAGTTTTCCAAGTAAAGGTTGTCAAGGTTCCCAAGATTATTATGTAAAGGTTCCCAAGTAAACGTTGTCCAGGTTCCCAAGGTGACATTCTAAAGGTTTCTATAAGATTCCCAAGGTTAGATTGTCAAGTTTCGCTCAAGGTTCCCAAAAGGTACCCTCAAGGTTCCTTCAAGGTTTCTTCAAGGTTCCCTGAAGGTTCCCAAGTTTTCCAAGGTTCCCAATTCCCAAGGTTGTATTGTAAAGGTTCCCTCAAGGTTCCCAAGGTTACATTGTAAAAGGTTCTCAAGGGTTCCAAGGTTATATTGCCAAGGTTTCCTCAAGCTTTCCAAGGTTGCATTGTAAAGGTTCCCTCAAGGTTCCCAAGGTTACATTGTAAAGGTTCTCAAGGGTTCCAAGGTTATATTGTCAAGGTTTCCTCAAGCTTTCCAAGGTTGCATTGTAAAGGTTCCCTCAAGATTCCCAAGTTTCCCAAGTAAAGGTTGTCAAGGTTCCCAAGGTTGTATTGTAAAGGTTCCCTCAAGGTTCCCAAGTTTTCCACGTAAATGTTCTCAAGGTCCCCAAGGTTATGATGTAAAGGTTCCCAAGTAGTAATATTCGTCGTAATATAGCAATTTCTTGTTCCCTCAAGATTCCCAAGTTTCCCAAGTAAAGGTTGTCAAGGTTCCCAAGGTTGTATTGTAAAGGTTCCCTCAAGGTTCCCAAGTTTTCCACGTAAATGTTCTCAAGGTCCCCAAGGTTATGATGTAAAGGTTCCCAAGTAGTAATATTCGTCGTAATATAGCAATTTCTTTAAGAAATTTGAATGCGGCTGCACACGCCGAACCCGCGCAGAACAACATGCGCGGAACCCGCGCAAAACGCAGACGCGCATAACGCAGATAACGCGCGAAAACCGCGCGAAACGTAGACGCGCGGAACCCGCGCGTACTATTCATACTTCTACTAGTGGTAGTAGTAAAAGTAGAAGTAGTAGTAGTAGTAGTAGTAGTAGTGGTAGTGGTAGTGGTAGTGGTAGTGGTAGTAGTAGTGGTAGTAGTAGTAGTAGTAGTAGTCGTAGTAGTAGTAGTAGTAATATCGCAGATGTAGTAGAAATGAAAGTAATCGCAAAAATGATTACATTATAATTAGTAAAAGTAGTAGTCATATTCGTCGTAATAGATTAATTTCTTGAAGAAATTTGAATGCCACGACGCGCGCGGAACCCGCGCAGAACAACACGTGCGGAACCCGCGCAAAACGCAGACACGCGTAAATGCAGACGCGCGAAACGCGCGCGTACTATTAATACTTCTAGAAAAAAAGTAGAAGTAGTAGTAGTAGTAATAATAATATCGCAGATGTAGTGGAAATGATATTAATCGTAATATTGATGAATTATAATTAGTAAAAGTAGTAGTAATATTCGTTGTAAAATTTAATTTCTTTAGGAATTTTGAATGCGACGACGCGCGCGGAACCCGCGCAGAACAACACGCGCGGAACCCGCGGGAAACGCAGACGAACATAAGGCGCGGAACCCGCGCAAAACGCAGACGCGCGAAACCCGCGGTGGTAGTAGTAGTAGTAGTAGTAGTAGTAGTAGTAGTAGTAGTAGTAGTCGTAGTAGTAGTAGTAGTAGTAGAAGTAGTAGTAGTAGTAGTAGTAGTAGTCGTCGTCGTAGTAGTAGCAGTAGTAGTAGTAGCAGTAGTAGTAGTAGTCGTCGTCGTCGTAGTCGTAGTAGTAGCAGTAGTAGTAGTAGTAGCAGTAGTAGTAGTAGTAGCAGCAGTAGTAGTAGTAAAAATATCGTAGATGTATAGTAGAAAGGATACTAATCGTAGTATTGATCAAATTACGATTAGTAGAAGTAGTAGTAATATTCATCGTAATATATTAGCTTCTTTGAGAAATTTAAATGCGGCTACACGCGCGGAACCCGCGCAAAACAACACGCGCGGAACCCGCGCAAAACGCAGACGCGCTTAACGCGCGGAAACCGCAGGAAACGCAGACGTGCAGAACCCGCGCGTACTATTAATACTTCTAGTAGTAGTAGTAGTAGTAGTAGTAGTAGTAGGAGTAGCAGTAGCAGTAGCAGTAGCAGTAGCAGTAGGAGTAGTAGTAGTAGTAGCAGTAGTAGCAGTCGTAGTAGTAGTAGTAGTAGTAGTAATAATATCGCAGATGTAGTAGAAATCATACTAATCGTAAAATTGGAATTATAATTAGTAAAAGTAGTTATGATTTTCGTTGTAATATATTTACTTTTTGAAGAAAATTGAATGCGACGACGCGCGCGGAACCCGCGCAGAACAACACGCGCGGAACCCGCGCGAAACGCAGACGCGCATAACGCGCGGAACCCGCGCGAAACGCAGACGCGCGGAACCCGCGCGTACTATTAATACTTCTAGTAGTAGTAGTAGTAGTAGTAGTAGTAGTAGTACTAGTAGTACTAGTAGTAGTAGTAGTAGTAGTAGTACTAGTAGTAGTAGTAGTAGTAGTAATAGTAGTAGTAGTAGTAGTAGTAGTACTAGTGGTGGTAGTAGTAGTAGTAGTAGTAGGAGTAGTAGGAGTAGTAGGAGTAGTAGGAGGAGTAGTAGTAGTAGTTGTTGTTGTAGTAGAAGCAGTAGTAGTAGGGGGGGCCGGCGGGCAGGACGGCGCAAAAATGCACTGCATTGCTTGGTCATGAAACAAAAACTACCACGTTTATATTGAATTACTGTTTGGGATCTACGGCCGCTGCTTTCTTGCTGTTGGGGATATTCTTTGGGCTTATTTTTTAAATGTGTTTAAACTGTCTTACTAAGCAAACCAGCTTAACCAAATCACAAGATACTGTATCACAACAAATGCATGGCACCAATGACCATGAGGACAGACAGCCAAAGCGCGAGTGGAAATGATTGATGAGGAGGATTCGGTGACGCCCGACCAGCCCCCCAGCAGTCGAGGTGGCATTCCCAAGGATGTGAGGTGCCTGCGATTTCTTCGGCGATTTGTTTGGTTATTTTCATTACTCTATTGGTAACGGGACGATTAATATCATTTGAAGATCATATACATGTGCGGGGGGGTACACAGATAGATAGATAGATGGATAGATAGATAGATAGGTAGATAGATAGAAAGATAGATCGATAGATAGAAAGATGGATAGATAGATAGATCGATGGATAGATGGATAGATAGAAAGATAGATAGATAGATAGGTAGGTAGATAGATAGATCGATAGATAGATAGATAGGTAGGTAGATAGGTAGATAGGCAGATAGGTAGGTAGGTAGGTAGATAGATAGGTAGGTAGATAGATAGATAGATAGATAGATAGATAGATTAGATTAGATAGATAGGTAGAATGATAGAATGATAGAATGATAGACAGATAGACAGATAGGTAGATAGATAGATTAGGTTAGATTAGATTAGATTAGGTTAGGTAGGTAGATAGATAGATAGATATATGTATATATGTATATATGTATGTAATGTATGTAATGTATGTATGTAATCTAATGTAATGTAATGTAATGTCTTGTCTTGTCTTGTCTTGTCTTGATGTATGTATGTATGTATGTATGTATGTATGTATGTATGTATATTATGTATATTCATGTTGAGATGCCAAAGAAAAATGGGTTGAAGTTGGCTGCGCACGTTACCTCCCGTGCTTTTGACAAGCCTGAGGGGTTGCCAACTGCCAGGTTTCCCTCAGCATTGATCGTGCTTTGCTGTTTGTGCAACACTTGTTCGTATACCATCGAATTTGCGACGTTTGCCGTCTACTTCCGGCAGGTGCACAAGTGGAATGAGGCCGATTCCACAATTTTTTGTGCAGGGTTGAGTGGTGGTTTGGGTTGGTTTGAAATCATAGTGAGAGACCCCTTCAGAAAATGAGACCCTGATATCCCAAACCGCCCGCCCAAACCATCCTGTGATGCATGTGTCTCAATCATCGGTTGGTTAGTAAACAATGCTAACATTAACATTCCCTTAATCTTGCTCTGTGCCACCCTGAGGCAACTTTAGCAAGTGTTGCTCAGACAGCCGGAGATGTCGTCGGAGCGATTATGATGCAGGTGCTCCCTGTCTTCTTCTCTAGCGACTACGACCCGGATGAGTTGGGTTGCTTCTGGCGATGTGTACATCATCTAACAGCTCAGCCCTACAACCTCACTTTCATTTTGGCCACCTGGATCCTTTTCAACCTTGGGATGATGAGCCCCAGCTTGCCAGTGGCCATTGCAGCGCAGATCTTTATGGGCACTACCTTTGTGGCTCTCGTTGAACAGGGCAACAGTTGGCAGATGTGGTTGGTAATGTGGTAAAGCCGATAAAACAGCCCCAATCTATGGTACTCAGTTTTATCATGTGGATCCACGTGGGTGCATGGCAAACACCTGTAAACCACATACCCTTAAAATGGCATCAAGTCGGGTTTGCTCTCGCATCCCGGCGAAAGAACCCGATCCTCCTGCTGGCGCGCCATCCCGGAATCCCCCCTGCAGCATGTGCAATCATCTTGCTATATTTGGTATGATGATGTGACGGTGTCAAACCATGGGATGTGATGTATCATCAGCTAATTTCTATACCGATTGTGCTCTTTCTCAAAGCTTCGTGCCAGGGGCACCATGGGGGCGATCCTTGCAGGTTTACAGCTCCAAATGGTCGACGGACATGAACCTGCTGCTTGGTCTAAAGGAGTTTAAATGAGATGTGCTGAGATGTATTTCAATGCATTTCAGCAAACAGTTTGCCATGTTTGCCATCTCTTTTAACATGTTTTTCACATGTTTCATTCAGGTTCTACTCCATGGGTGACTCGAAGGTTTTCATGGCCCTCCAAGTCTACTGCCGCAATGGTGAAGCGCTGGGTGGGAGCATGGCGGGTCTCCTGGGAACGGCGCTGTTCACCGTGGACCCGGTCGCGCCTTTTGCCTTCAGTACTGCGTTTGCCTGCGGCTCGAAGAAACCTCCGTAGGAAATGGAAATGGCACAAAATGCTAGTTCAAAGAGTGTAGGTCAGTGTAAGTCACTGCAGGTCATGGTTTTACAACAGTTTCTAGCAGTACCTGAATGATTTGATATTTGAGTGTCTATAGGAGATTCTGGCGCTGCTTCTGATTGTCGGGGCCCCCCAAAAAGATAGAAACGTCAATCCCTCCTAATTAGTCTGATTGTTTTGATTTGTTGTGCCAATGGTGTTTTACTTCTTCAATCTTTTCCATCCTCCAATCCTCCAAATAGATCTGGGGCATCCCATGCCTTCCATGCCTTCCCAGCCCACAATGTGGCTATGGCGCCATGTGCGCTGCGAAGGTGCAATTTTTTTGGCCTACACCACTGGGCACCTTGGCTAAGCTGAACACACATTGAAAATAGGGCATCCATAATATCCCATATATCCATTCCATCTCTTGGTTGTTTCAACCCCACAATCCCACATTTTTCCTTCTTTTATATGTCAGGATTCTTGGGGTACATGGTATGACATGGGACATCCATGGCTCCGTGACCCTGCTGAAGCTCCAGGTTCTGCGCGCGCCTGGGCTTCGGAGACGACATCGACACGGCTGAGGAGAAGAGGAGCCGTCGCTTGGGAAAGAAGCGAGCCGCTGGGCAGCACTGGGCCGCAATTTTCGTTTTTTTCTCCATGGGAAAATGGTGATTTTAGTGGGATATATATGGGATATGAATGGGAGAATGACATGTATGACCCATACATTAGAATTTAACTAACTAAATCAAGAGTTGGATCATAAATATCCATATTTGTGGATGGTCATCAATCCATTTTTACATGGATTTGTACCCGTCATAAGGATTTCCGGGGACAATGTTGGGGATCGGATGGGGGCATGTCTTTATGCAATAGAACGGTCTTAATCCCATAGGATATGAGATTGTGGTTATTGTGGTTATTGTGCTTATACGGGGTAAGGATTCTTTTTCAATGAAATGTGATATAGTACCAGTAGTACCGCACAAGGCGGTGGCGGAAGTTTCAAAAATAGGAAACCTATAGGAGAGATTGGTTGTTGTGAATCAGGGATGGCAGAGCGAAGCCACTGATGGACTGAAAGGTGCTTGAAGTCTCCTCTCTTTCTCTCTCTCTTTCTCTGACTATCTACCTACCTACCTATCTATCGTCTATGTATCTATCTATCTATCTATCGATCTATCTATCTCTCTCTCTTCCATCTAACTACCTATCTATCTATCTATCTGTCTGTCTGTCTGTCTGTCTGTCTATCTATCTATCTATCTCTCTCTCTCTCTCTTTCATCTGTCTATCTGAGTCTATCTGTCTATCTGTCTAGCTGTCTATCTGTCTGTCTATCTATCTATCTATCTATCTGTCTATCTGTGGTGCAGCGTCATTCAGTGTAATGTAGTGTAGTGTAGTGGAGTGTAGTGGAATGTAGTGTAGTGTGGTGTAATGTAGTGTAGTGGAGTGTAGTGTAGTGTAATGTAGTGAAGTGGAGTGTAGTGGAGTGTAGTTGTGTAGTGTAATGTTGTTGTAGTTGTAGTTGTAGTGTAGTGGAGTGTAGTGTAGTGCAATGCAGTGAAGTGTGGTGGAAGGTGGTGTAGTGTAGTGTAGTGGAGTGTAGTGTCGTGTAATGTAGTGTAGTGGAGTGTAGTTGTGTAGTTGTAGTTGTAGTGTTGTGGAGTGTAGTGTAATGTGATGTAGTGAAGTGTAGTGAAGTGTGGTGTAGTGTAGTGTAATGTAGTGTATTGTAGCGAAGCGAAGCGAGCGACATCTGAACCCCCAAAAGTGGTCCGAACCCCTAGTGTTTTGAACATTTGACTTCGAAACGTGCTTCGCGCCACAACGGCGTGCACTTTTTCGACATCTCAACTGCCAAAAGCACCTGGTGTGTTTTGTACATTTTGACTTCCAAATGTGCTTGGCGCCACAACGGCGTGCACTTTTTCGACATTGCAAGTTCCAAAAGTGGTCCGACAATGGTGTGTTTTGTACATTTTGACTTCGAAATCTGCTTCGCGCCACAACGGCGTGCACTTTTTCGACATTGCAACTTCCAAAAGTGGTCCGACAATGGTGTGTTTTGTACATTTTGACTTGGAAATGTGCTTCGCGCCACAACGGCGTGCAATTTTTCATCTCTCATCTGGCCAGATGGCTCCGCGCCCGCCGCTTTAGCGAGCCTACTTTTCGACCCTCCGGAGCCACAAATCATTGGAAAAACACAGTGTATCGCGACTTTCCTACCTTTTCGCGCATCTGCATCTTCTTTCTTCTGACTCTTTCTCTTCTCTGACCTTCTCTTTTCTGTGACTCTTCCCATCTCTACTTTTCATCTGTCCATATTGTCGGAAGTTTGACTTCTAAACTTCCTTCGATGATATAGTCCTTTCCCTCTAACATCATCAGGCAGCTCGCAGGTCGTAAGGCAGCAAGCCGAAGTGTACCAAGGAGGGAACGGATCCGATCGGATCCAACCATGAGAAACGTAGGGTCTGCTGAAGGCTGCTTGTTGTCTGAACACTGCTTAATCTATCGGTCCCTCACCGTGTCTATGTTCCACAATGGAAGGAAGCTGTGCTTGCCCCTGTAGCCCGAGGTTGTTGAACTGTATAAAGCCATTGCACCCGCTTTAAAAGCACTACGTACGAAGGGCCTAACACAAGGCAACAATCTGCACAATTGAAATGCAGAAAGCAGCATCTTTGCGACGCAAAATGCCCCAAACAACTTTCCAGGCAGAAACGACCGGACTCCCACTTCCCCGTTGATAATCGCCGTCCCAAACTCCAGGCTTTGTTGATTCAGCATGTTGCGTTCCTTTCAATCAAGGTAGCTGGCGCTAGGACCGCAGCTGCCTGCATGCCATTTGTAATCCCAAAAGGCCAATATATATACATACATATATATATATATATTATATATAACACGTATAATAATATAATGAGTGGTGGATGGGATATGCTGGAAACCACCAACAAAGCCAGGAATATATAGCATGATAGAAGATGAAAGAAATATGGTAGGTCCATCTAAGTCCCAGTTTCCATCCCCGGGAGGATCATGGGCATCATGGGACTGGCAAGCCGCAGCACAATGGGTTGGTGGTGGGGTGGGGTGGGACAATAACGTTCATGTTTCTTTGCACACAGATGCGCTGATATGCACTGCACCCTCATCATACTCTTGGTGTGGTGTTTGGGGTGGGGTGTGGGTGGGGGCGAGGCGTCTATTCAGATGACTCTAAAAACCCCAGTGAATCGTGATTTGCAACATCGTAATACAGTGTCAAGAAGCAAGTAGGGCGTACAGTATCTTGGCTGCAAGACAGGAACCGAAGCTCAAAGTCAGAAGAAAGAGATAGATCCAACAAGTCGCAAGTCCACGTTAGACCTTGTCGGTCTGATAACAAGTTATGTGTCACCACTCACCACTCATGTACAAACACTCCTGTATCACAACTCCTGTGTAAGAATGATGTCGATGCAGTTGTTGTATGCAATGTTAATGAAGTTGATGAAGATGGTCTTTATGATGTATGTGATGTAGATGGGGTTGATATAAATGATGTAGAGGATGTATCTGGTGTAGATGTCAATGATGTAGATGATGTACAGGATGTAGGAGAGACGTAGAAGATGCTGTGATGTATGTGATGTAGATGAAATTGATGTAGATGATCTGGGCGAAGTAAAAACATGTGAAAGATATTGTCTAGATGACGTAGGATCATCTTCTGCGTTCAAAAACCATGGTTGAGAACACGTTCTAAAGCGATGGTCCGCTCCGCGTTCTGAAGCGAGGGTCTCACCATCATGATCCCAAGTGACCACATTCTCGGGGAGTGTGGACAGGTGATCACAGGATGGAAACATCCAGCGTTTGCCTCGATCCTTTCAAATACCTCGCAATACAACCCTTTGAATGCAACTGCGCATGCGTCCAAACACAATTAAACACAGTATCTCGAAATTTGTGGTTGGTTTCCTGGCACATTGTTTCGCAATGTTATCATTTGTCATCCGGTCGATGTGTCCAGCAATGGAGATACCGTGCCCTCGCCCCTCGCATGCCATATCTATTGAACGATTATCTTACATATCCTTATATGTCACAAGTGTTCTCAAAAACGAACTACCCAACATTACCCAAAGAACACATACCTACAATCTACGGAATGAACCCGTGACCGGCATTTTTAGTCCCCAATTGAGGTCAGCAGCTGGGCAACCCGGACAACCCGCGTGTCTATGGAAGTGGACAAGGTGGACAAGGTGGACGGCGATGAAAACGAGGAATGAGTGCCCTGACAAGGGCGGCTCCGAGAGCGGTTGCGTTTTTCGACATCGGCAAAGGCCGTTTTTGTCCATTTTTCGTTTTTGACTTCTTGGACACCCTTTGGGCTCCAGGGCGCGGTACCATGTTGGACCTATACCGAGGTCATTTTCGTCCATTCTTCAAAAGAATGTGAGCGGTTTAAAACCGCGCCTCCATTAGAAACCGTTTCCCGAAGCCAAGAAACTTCCCAGAGAAGATCAGAGAGGCGTCGTTCAGTGGTGCATTTTTCCAATCATGTTTAATCACAGTGGCCGGGAAAAAACATATGGTGGTTGGCTGATGTCGGCTCAAGATCTTATCGACAAAAAATGGATGGTTTTATTAATACAAAAGATTTTGTAGGTCCATTGCTATCCCATTTTTGATCCATAGCCGCAACATCCACATGTTGGCAATCGCGAAAGATAAACATATCCCGGCATGGAGTGCTGGTGGCAAGATGCGATGGTATGGTACAGTCGCGAGAAAGACGCGTGCTGCTGGATGCCTAAGAGGATAACAATAACCAACACATATTAAAAAGTGTTGGGATTTCATTTTGTGTGGGGGCCACTGGCAGGGGTTCGCAGATATCAGTTAAGTTCATTCACTCTAAAGCCTTAAGATCACACTATGCGGGCATGGCCTAAGATTTGTCGCCCCACAAATCCTCAAAGATTGGATGGCTTACACAATTAAGATCCGATTCTGCAAGTTACTTTCAGCAAAGGTGCTTGACCAGTTGCTCATACAACTGCAATCACGTTCAATTGCAATCATGGCTTAAATACCAATCATTTTTAGGAGTTGCCATGGGTTAATACTGGGATGATAAGCTCCAACAGATCGTCGCATCGCCAGATCCAGTCGTGGCATGCTAAGGACTCGGCAAGAGCATGATGTGGAGCTACGGAAGCTCCACGTGGCTGCCAGTCAGGCCGTTTCGACATCGACACCACATTCCATAACACGTCGGGCTGCACTAAAAGAACCCAAATTGTTCTTATATCAAGTGAGGCCGATCTATAATCTATAATTTATATGATTGATTCCATGCGCTCACTATTTACCCACTTGAAGACAGGGAAAACACAGACCATACAATACCATACAATACCATACATATATACCGATCATATTCCACAATATTTCCTGGACCGAGATTTTCCCAAGCGACTTTATGTCACCAACGGAATCCATCACAGGCCTTGCAAGCAGAACGTGCTCGAGCCCAGGAAGTGCAAAACGGAGCCTTCAACTGAGGATGGTCAGTTTGTTGCGGATTGTTGCGATTTTATGTGTTAAAAAAAGCGTCATTGTCTGTTGTTTCCAACCACACTTGCCAGGAATTTTGGGGAAAAGTGGCACTGAGACTGGATTTTTTTCTGTTGAAATATTGAAACTGGTGGCTAAGTCGTGGGCGCGCGATGGTCCTGAAGTCGATGCCCTTAAGGTTGGCTTCAGATGGGTTTGTCGACAAGCTGGCTACCCCAAAAGCCTATGTTTTTGTAGCGTACTTCCAATTTTCCAATGGACTAGGGGGATTAAGAATCGGATTAATCATTAAATTAATATGAAATCTTAGCATATCTTAGCATTTTCAGATGAAAAAGAAAGATGCTACGAATCATCATGAATCATCCCATGGCGCTGGGAACTGGCCAGCTGACCATTGACCAAGTATCTCAAGCCCCGAGCCAACGAGCCATCATTTGGAAACAATTTGGAAACTCAGATCTCTAGATCTGACCACTTTGAGGACATAGAATGGAAAGTCAGAAATGGGCGTGTTCCAGGCAGCCAAAGTGGAGCTGGCTGAACTACTGGCGGAAGCTGATGAGGTGGGCAGCTCTGGAATAGTCATGTGTTCACATTTTTGTTTTGGCACAGGCAAATGACTGTAACCCATCTTTTTTGGTCACCATAGACCTATGTTATCTGCGTTGAATTTGGATTGACTCTGAGGATGATGTTCGAAGATGATTACAGATTCAAAGAGTGGATGAATGTGGCATGCTTGAGGATTGTTGTATTTGGCATTCTTCTAAGGATACGACTGATTTCATCTGCTTCCATGGATATTGGAAACCCATTAAGCGTTTTTTCAGGATCTGGAATCCGATATCCGCAGATTCTTGGACGTTGTGACAGATCTGAAAGGTGGACAAAAGGTGGACAAGATTCAATATCATAATATCATATAATATCATATAATGGCGATATCCATTCTATATCCATTATATATCCATTATATATCTACAGATCTGAAAGGTGTGATGAACAGAAATCCTCACTGATACTGATCCAGCTGCACCGCAGCTTTGAGGTCCGCCTGCGCTCTAGGCGCGAAAGTGCGCAGCTGGCGTCCTGCGGCCTTGTTTCAAAAATCGCGCCGAAACCATGGAATCCTGGAACTTGCAGAGAGTTTTATCATTGCTTTATGGATTTTCTTCAAGATCCCAAACTGATCACTTGCGTGATTTATGCGAAAAGTCCTGTGTTTCCAATTGTTTCCATGACCATTGATTAGCTTTGCGACCACTGAGGGTGTGCGTGATTAGCGCGCTGGAGTCACGATAGGGGATTCCCATGGATTACTTGGCGATACTTGGTGCGTATGTTACTTTTGATCCCGATTCACTGTGGTTTCAATGATGTAAGGTGGCAATTGTCTGTGTATATCGGTGTATCGACAGTCCAATTGCTGCATCACCACTTTTCAGAGGGACTTTGGACATGACAGGCATCAGTTAGAAGGAGCCCAAGCAGAGCATGCTCGACTGGGTGGCAAAATGACAGCTCAGGCGCATCCTCCAAGATAATGCATTGGCATCGTTGCAGTTGGAGTAGCTACCACAGCAACATCTCAAATCAGCCGTTGTTTAAAGGCAGTTTCCACTGCATATCGCTACATTCTCTGGCAAAAAACGTTCATCCTGAAGTCAAGATGTCACCCAGAATACTTGGGGGTTTATGCACAGTTGAATCAATTGGTTGTGCGATCTGCGTGAGAGGAGGAAGTGCGCACTGCATCACCAGGAGCGAAATTGCGATGAGTCACCACCACAACACGAGCTGCATTTTTTTCTCGTTGCATCTCGTTTTGACCCCTTTAAGTGGAACATGCAGCTCATTTTTTGAGGTGTCAAAAGCAAGGGGTCTTGGCAGAGAATGAAAACCATGGCAAAACGTGTTCAACAAATGCAATGCCTTGAAGTTTAGCAGTCGGTATCTTACAAAGGATATGAGATTTACCAGAATCGACAGATATTTTATATATCGAACTAATCACCACAACCAATTCATAGTAAATTCAACCAACATATAGCGATCAACGAACAAAAAGCCATGGATGATTTAAGCATCCAATTCATGGATTTCAAGGGCCCTTTCTTCACCAGGCAGGCCCCGAACAGTTTGGAGGCGTTTGGCGAATGAGCACCACTCAGCCGGCGATTTCTGTGCACAGTTGAGCTATCAAAAATACCCAGGTTGATTGGCCATTATCGGGACTTATAGGGAGATATACTACCTGGATTTTTGGGGGATGCACATATAACTGACAGTAACTCTTACAGACTCTTACATGTAACACATTATAACCAATTGGAGGGAAACCAGTGTATGGGGTATGGTTTTGTTTGAATCTGTTTGAATCCACCATGGCTGCTGTTCTAAGGCCCGATCCGAAGAATCAAATCCCTTCGCGTGACGAACGGGAAAAAGCCGAGTGGAACGGGAGCAACCCTTGTTGGTTAATGTTGGTTGATGTTGGTCGCTGTTGGTCGCTGTTGGTTGTGTTGTTTCGTTGTTCGCCTTCACGATTTCAGCCGTTCAGGCTTGAGAAAATTCCAACCCTTGTGCCACTGGACATCTCTGGACCATTTTGGGCTCAAGGTGGTTCGAGATGTGCTGAAACCACCAGTGCACCGGTAACGAACAAATTTGAGGAAACTTTGAGGAGATCCGGGGCCCGTGCAAAAGGTACTGGTACTTGGTGGTTTTTCAGTTTTTGTTTTTTTGGTTGACCAGCAGGTAGCCCAAGATGTAGCAACCCCCCAAAAATCTACGGTGCTTAGCCTATCTTAGGCTTCCAGGTTGCCCAATCATTTCATCTCCACAATGGATCCGTAAGTTGATCTTCGAAGGACTGATGATCCCAACTGGATACCTCTCCAGGCCACACGAAACAGATGAAGAACTCATGGATTAAATGGATTGGCATCAAGCGATCGAAAATGAGAAACAACAGATATCAACAGATCACTTCCCTGTGGATTTTCCATGTGAAACCCGCAATTGTCAAATTGTTGAGGCCCGGCTTTGGCCGAAAATCCGCACGGCAAAGGCGCGAAACGCGGGGGCGTTGTGGACACCAAAAATGCTTCATCATGACTGGGGCTCACTGGTTCACAGTGGTCACAGGTTTCATTCTCCTTTGAGTTGTGGGATATCGTGGGATGTTTGAGCGTCTAAGTCAAACAGGACAGGTTTGAAGATATTCATCCATTCGCGGTTCATTTTCTGCCGTTCGCACGTCGTTTCGGAACCGCAACGGCAGGCTTGATGTGTTGTCCGTCTTCCAGTCGTGGAACCCAGTTGCTGACCCCGCTGATTTTTTTGTGGACCTTCAGCACTCGCATTTCCAATGCTGTTCCTGTAGTCATAGTGTTGGGCGAAAGGGATCACATCAAAAAAAAATGTCGCAGATTTGTCCAGATATGCTATAGACTCTATAGATATCGAATGATATCGATATTTTATGATATCTTACAGACTTTCCAGTTGTCACTTAAATCCCATAGTCTCCCAGTCCATGGACACAAACTTTGAAGCATGGCACCGAGCTTGAAGGGCACCATGGATCTGTAAGGGCACCATGGATCTGCTGGATCCGGTTTTCAAGGTGCCTGTTCCTTCCTTGGCTCTTTTTCTGCGCCATCTTCGCATTATTGTCCGGGCTGCCCGGAGGAAACATCAGGAAACATCTCCACATCTGGCGCCATCAGATTGGACACCAACAAATATGGATGGTTCATGATGATGAAATGTTTTTGAATTGTTTTGACATGTCCTAAGACTGGATGGTTTACAAGGTTTACATATCATAATTAGTATAATTAAATGATGACCAGACAAATTTGATGGCTCGGGGTACAGCCGTTACCCCACTTGCCCCATCCTGATCCATCCTTCAGGTCGTGTTCGCTCCATTACTATCGACCAACCTTGACCTACATCTTGGTGGCGCTTGGTGGCCTGCTCTTAGCTACCCTCTGCTGGACACGGGAGATGCCAATGCTGTTGCCACTCTTGGATGAACATGGTGAAATTCAAAAGTTTTCTAATTTTAAACTATTTTCTTGTTGATTTTCCTTGGATCAGCCTATATTGATGATTTCCAGGACTTGAGTTGTATGGATGGATGATTCCGAGATGTATATGTAGGCTCATGTTGGTTTCAACCGTAACTGGAAACCTGGGATGATGTGGATCAGTGTGTTTCACCGATTCACATTGGACATGGACCGGAAATGCGCGGGTTCATACTGATCAGCGAGTGAAGATCGACGAGACGGCTTCAGTTGAGCATGGGGTAAGTTTTCCCGGTGCATTTTCTGATGCAAATCCTGCACTTCTCTTCTTGCCGAGCCTTCCGTCATGCATGTCTTTGACGAAAGAACATCCAGTCCCACCGAGCATTTTTTGGTTTGAAATGAATGGAGTCGTTTTTCTCAGCATGAAGTGACATGAAGTGTCTCCACCCCGAAAAACTCTAAAAAACGATGGGATCTACACCATAGCTACTGATAGTTGCACCACATGTTTGTTCCAGGGCACCAGGGGCCAGGGGTTGATCAGAGGACCGCCTTTCGCGTGGTGAAGAGTTTGCAAGAGCCGAGTTGGTACACCTTCCTTTTCGTCTGGGAGCCCGAGGAATCACTGGTGATCTTAGCACATCACTGATCAAAGCATATGAAAAACATACGAAAAAAGTGGCGTTTCTCCATCTCCAAGGCCACTATGGTGGTGGCATGGCTTCTGGGCGTACGCTCTGGCTTGTTTTCGGTAAACATGGCGTACTCTGAACTTCCGCAAGTTTCAACATGTTTCAAATGGCGAATCAGTGATGAATCAGCCATATTTTCCATATTTTCCCAGTCTATTTTCCCAGTCTATTTTCCCAGTCTATTTTCCCCCTGGCGAATCAGTTCTGAATCAGCAAAAGAGTGCGAACACTGCGACGCTGTCTCCACGCAACTCCCGTGTACAACTCCCCAGGTTTCAAGTTCGTCTGAGTCCATCACTATCATGTAAGTATCATGTAAGTCTATGATTCCATAGCACAGTACCCGCCATATCCACATCCACCATATGACAGGTGACTTTCGGCAACATGAACTTTGCGGCCACCACCTCTCCGCTTGACTCTTAGTCAACCGGAAATCTGGCAGTTCTGGTTGTTCCCAATGGCCAGAACAGCAAAGGTATTTCAGCTATCTGAACATGGATGTCCTTCCAGAGGTGGGGGGCTTGTTGACCTGGTTGATGGTAGTTGCAATAGTTGATGGATGTTGATGGTTGGGAGATGAAACAACAACATAATTAGAATAATTGCATATTTATATATATATATATCATATATCTATTTAGAATAATGGTCATTTAATATATTTCATGGTTGTTTTCTCAAACATGTGAGTCACATATAGAGTCAGCGATATCTCCAGGTCAGTGTGGAGCAATCCACTGGGGAGGAGGTGATGCCTGCGGGCCGCGCCTACTTTGGGAAGTCATCGGTCTTGGACATCAGGACGGGATGATGATGACATAGGATGACAATGATCCATGGCATGGATGATATTTGATGATATTGATATTGATATATATTTATAAACAAACAATATCAATATAGATTAATATAGTTATGTATTTTAGATAGGTATCACTCTATATATAAAAACATATATTTATATATACATAATAGATACTAATATCCGTTCGATATGTACACCATTTGTATAGTTCGCAGTATTCAACTGATACATTGGATGCATTGGATTCATTGAGACTCAGGAGATCGATGGCTTTCAAAAACGTGGACACCTACTGCGTGGCGCCCATCACGACCAAAAAAGGCAGATCTCCATTGATTTTGGCATTGGGAGTATCAACTATATTGAACATATATTGAACATATAGCCTGTTCAGCCATATATTCAGCTAGCAGTTGGCAGAAGGAAGTGTCGCAACTGGCACAACTATCACAATGGTTCCAATGCCATTCCTGTGCCATTCCTATGCCATTCCTATGCCATTCCGGGTGCCGCGTTGGCAGGAGTAGTTCAGCCCTTGGCCAACTACGACTTTTGGGCCGTGGGATTGAACTGCTGCTCCCTGAACACAGCGGATTTTCATTGCGGCCTGAGGCTTAGAAGGTTTTCCGGGGACCGGTTAGATGCTGCTTTTGAGTTGTCCAATGGATCAAAATTTAGGGATCTTCCATGATACTCGTATGGGTAAATCTTGGGCCGGTGGCAAATTCCACAGCTTCAGCACTTGACAGCTGACACGAGGTGAATACGAAAACCCCAATGCGCACAGCGGACTCAGACTGCTGAACGACGAGCAGCGCAGCTTTTATCGCCTGGCAGTGGAGCAGGTTGCAGTGGATGCGCGATGACCTACTACAAAGATCATGACATGATTCTCTCAGTTTAGCAGTGCTATGTATATTACATATGTTATATTCTGTTATATATTATGTGTGTATTATATATTGAATGTCTTGAGTTCCATGTGGCGCAGGCGACAGCTGCTTACAGCCTCAAGGCGGAGCATCCCCTGTTCTTCTACTGGACAGAAGATGCCACGGCTGAGATGGATTCCTTCCGTGACAATGGCTACAAGTGCCCAAACAACAAGACATGAAGATCATGAAGATCATGAAGATCATGAGGGTTGAGGGGATGTTGATGGTATGTTGGGTCCCTGTTTTTTTTGTATTTTTTTTGGTCTTTTGGAGTGTTTTTCTGTTGTAAGGTCTTGCAGGTGACGGCAAGGATCTTTCAGGATGAAACAAAAGCACCAAAAGTACGGAATGCTCAGACGATTGCAAGGACTCTGTCGACATACCAGAATAAATCACCATCAAATCTCACATCTGTAAGGATTGAGATTCAAGATATGTTAAAATTATTAAACATCATTTTAATATATAATACTATATAGTCTCTTCTATTATCAGGTACTTCCTGCTCGGCATGCTGGGTCATTTTGCCTTCCAGCTCCTTGGCACGGAATGGAAGGCACCATCCATTGCTGTCGCCGCTATCGCCGCCATCGCCACACCAAGGACCATCTGTGTGCTGGTGGCGATCGCCGCCTTCTCAAACTGGGATTTCGCCTAACAGGGCGCTAAGGAAAGCTGGACGTTGAAGGTCAAGTGAAAATGTGAGCTGGAAGTGCTGCATAGTGCTGCAAGATGCAATCCTTGTGAAATCTTGTGAACTTCACTTTGCTGAATCCAGTCTTTGAATCATAGGCCAAGTCGGAGGAATAGATCAAATATCAAATTCAAGATGGACCAATTGACATTTTTTTTGTGGGAAATGTGGGAAAGTCAGTTTCGTCGTGCTCAATGCCTATCCCCTGTGCCCGACTGCACTTGGCCTCGAGACGCTTTGTTTTGTTTCGTGGAAAGGCACTGGTAGGCTGCCATGATGCCGCCATCACAGGCAGAGCCATCATTTCAATCCCAGCTGGAAATTGTTTGATCCATCTTGATCAAAAAGAAATATCCGGAAAATACTAAGATCATTGAGATCATTGAGATCTACTTGGTGAGGTCATTATCTCATTATTCACCCATTATTCAGCCATGGCGCCAGTAGATGCCGCCTTGGCCTTGTCTGGGGAGAAAGGCAGCAGGGAGATCGAAGAATGGTCCAATGAGGTGGAGGAGGCGAGAAACATCCAGAAACATCCAGAAACCGACTGCGGAAAAAAAGATGGAGAAAAATGATGGAAATAGATGGGACAACAGGCTAGAGATGATGGAAATAGATGCAAAGCTCGAGTCAGATGTCTATACTTTTGCTGTGCATCTCTGGATTCCTACGGTTTTTCCTAGGGTTTTCCTACGTTTTTCTTTTTTTTCTCAGGGTTCTTTGGTCGTTTTTTCCGCTGGGAGTTATGATTGAGGTGACATCGCAGATCCGTGGCATCATCGATGGGACCATCACAGACTTTGAGGATTTCGACCAAAAGTTGGCCCTGAAAGACCGCGCCAAACAGATTCGACAGGCCGATCTTTTTCGGGGATGAAGTAGGATGAAGTAGGATGAAGTAGGATGAAGTAGGATGAAGTAGGTACCCAAAAAAACAACCAGAAACGAAAGGTAAGCCAGGTAAGCGTTGAAGAGATACGTATGGCCATTTATGACATTTATGACATTTATGACATTTATGACATTATGACATTTATGACATTTATGACATTTATGACATTTATGACCCTGGCAAAAAAAAAGTTAAAGACTCAACATCCTACGGATCTTTATACTTCCGATGAACCCATCCGATTAGCCTGTGCTAAGTCAACCTGGCAATGGAAAACCACCGATTCTTAGATGATTTTCCCATTGAAACCTTGATGTTATCAGATGTTATCAGATGTTCCCAGTTATCAGTGTTTTCCCATGTCCGTCCTTTCCGTGGCTTCAGGAAGAGCAACAGGCGAGAAGGCAGAAGGTCTTGCTCTATGGGTCTGAGGGAAAGGGCGAAGGAACTAAGCACCTTGTCTTGGTGTTCCCCTGATTGGAGATGGAGGGTAGATGTGGGTAGGTGGCTTTCCTACCAACAAAAATCGGAATGTAGGTTAGCATCGTCAGAGCATCGTCAGAGCATCGTCAGAAACCTCTGTGTACACATTTTGAAGAGTTGGATCATATGACTCTGTCGGGTAAGTTTTGCGTAAGCTCCGGCATAAGCATTTTCATGCCTGACTGAAGCTTCTGGCATAAGCAGTTCCTATCCGTTTCTGATCAAACCTAGCAGCGTAAGGTTCGTGTAAGTTATGTTATGCATTGTTATGCTCTTGTGCACCGCGTAGGTCAAAAGTGTTGTCGCGTAAGCATGGCGTAAGGTTTAGCGTAAGCAATGTTATGCGACATAGGGCGCATAGGCTTGTAATCACACGTTTTTTGGTGAAGCTGAGGTAGGACCCATGGGGATTGTCCTTTTGACATTCAAGGCCAAAAGGAGAAAGCCATCATGCCATGTCCATGGTCTGCGTGCCAGTGTCATATGTGTCATATGTGTCATATGTGTCATATGTGTCATATGTGTCATATGTGTCATATGTGTCATATGTGTCATATGTGTCATATGTGTCATAGTGTCGTCCAGATGTTCCATCGCCAATCTGCTCGCCCATCTATGATCGATTTTGCAACATGTCTTGGATCCGGGTTGGTGTGAGAATATAGTACCTCAAAATCCAGCAGTTTATCACAATTTTGCCCTCTTCAATGGCCATAAAATTGAGGGATCCTGTATCCCTCATGTCTGGCCTTTTTGGAAAGGGCATGAAAGATCATGAAAGGACAAAAAATGCCATGTTGGTCAATGTTGGTCAATGTTGGTCCCCATTTCACAGAGGTACAAGTGGTGGTGCAAGCGCTGTTTCGTGGAGTACTTCATCGATTTGCCCGAAGGTTCCTCGGACTCGACCATGACCAACATGACCAACTCACCGACAACTCACCGAATGATTGACCTATTTTTTGATGCAGTTGAAATCCACTATTCATAGTGTCCCTATGACTTGTCACTATGACGTCACTTGAAAAGTTGGGTGATGTGAAGTGATTTGTTGATGAAGTCACTTGGGTGTCTCCACCTACTTTCTCTCAGAATAGGGAGGAAGCTTGAATGTATGCAGAGTTGTGTTGATTCTTACAGCCTTACAGCTACATAGTTTCCAGATGTTTCATATGCTGTTTCTAGATATTTGAGAATTTCTCATCATGTTTGATCATCCCCACCTTCCCCAACTATATCTGACTTGGACCGTTTCTCCATGTTTCTCCAAGGCAAATGCAGTCGATGCCAACAGTCGGACCAGATGATGTCCCAGGAGGCTCGACGTGCAGAACTCATGGAGAAACTGGACGTCTTCAAAGAGGAAAAGGCCAAACACAAATGGCGGAAGGACCGGCGGTACTGTATCCGGCAGTGCCTTTGTTGGCGAAACTTTGGCCATGTGGAATGGAAATGGAATGGAGGAAGCTCCTATAGCAGGTTCAGTATCTCAGTAGAGTCTCAGTAGAGTCTCAGTAGAGTCTCAGTAGAGTCTCAGTAGAGTCAGATGTTGGTTGACTGGATGCACTTGGACCGAAGTCTCCTTCAGGACAAGTGGAATCGTTGGAAGAAATCTCAGGCATTGTTGGGCAAGAGCCGATTCATCAACTACAAAGCTTGGGAATATTGGGAGCCTGACACAGACTCCGAGGAACCACACCGGATGGGTCACGAAACATCAGGAACCATCAGGAACCGTTAGATCTATGACACTATGAGACATGAATCCATGAAGAATCCACCATAGGCTGATGACCCTAGGTCCAACCAAGACATGTGTGTTTGTCCTGGCCGGAAAGATAAATATGGTAAATGAATGTAAATGATGAATGATTCGCAATGATAAACATCGATGGGATATCATGGGATGAACCATGGCTTCGGCGTTTCGCCATCATTTTGTATCCGATCGCCAGGAGGAGGGAGATCCCATCGTTCCCAGAGACAATCCGGAATTTCTGGCGATGGAAGCGGACCTCAAAGACCGGAAGAAGAAACAGTTTGACAAAGCCAAGACAGCAGAAAAATGCCGTCAGAGGGGCAATCAGTGCATGACGGAAGGTCACTGCTACTTTTCGATGTTTTGATTTTGGGATGTGTATGATGTGTTTCTTGTTTTTCCACCCATGTCCCTGATCTTGGGAAATCAGCAGTTATGACTTGGGAAAGGCAACAAACCCAGGGCAACAAACCCAGGGATCCATATTTGTCCGGAGGCTCCCTTGTTTCAAGGTGACTATGTGGGTGCCATCGAACACTACGATGAGGGCCTGGAGTATCGCCGCGACTCCAAAGCGTTGTGGACCAACAAGGCCCTGGCGGAACTGAAGGTCTTCAGATGGCACGATGCCATAGCATCCTGTAGCCCGACAAAATGTGGGATAGTTTCACCACACCAACGGCAATTTGGGATGGATTTTTTGAGTAAAAAAAATGATGATGAACATCATGGGAACTTTGGGGGTTTCAAGTTTTGAGACGACTGGTATGGAATTTTGATGGATTATGGAATGTTGAGTCAAACATTGAAGATGACTCAGCATGGGAATTTGGGGGTTTCAAGTTCGGAGACAACTGCGAGAGGTTCATGTGGTGGTTGGGGTTGTCGAGGGCCAAAGTGATGTCATTGTGGATGTGGCTGCTGTTTTGGATGGAAGCGGTGTGCGAAAAGCTGAGGCAATAAAGTCATCGAATACTCAGAGATTTTCGAAGATGGCTTTAAGAAACTTGGTATGTTCAGAGTGCCGTGGCACTGTTGAAATCTCTTGAAATCTCTTGAAAACAGTTGAAAGGTTGAACAAAGGTTGATCCATCCTTTCTGGACTCAGTCCGTATCCATCCAGTGATTTGGTGGCATCCATGGCCATGTTGCCCCTGTTTCCGCATTGCTGGCATCATCCCTATTGTCTCAGCATTTGAAGTGAACAATGCTCAAGACATCCTTATCTTTCATAGGAAAACGATGGAAAAAGAAACAACAAGTTACCTGGTTTCCGGCAAGATTTTCCAATCCAATCCAACTATATAATACTATATAAGTACTTGTGGATCTTGTGGAATCTTCCATTTTTCCATATTTTTCCTGCCAGGAAGAGCGAAGACGCCAACTTCAAGGCCTTCACCCGTCGAGCTCAGGCCCTAAGAGGTTTGCACCGCTGGGAGGATGCCTTGAACGACTTGGAGGATGCCCTCAGCATTTATCCCAGGACTGCTGGAGTTATGATGGAGTTATGATGGAGTTATGATAGTTGAGGTCTGTTGAGGTTAAGATAGGTTAAGCATCTATTGAGGTTATCTATCCCGTCTATCCCCACATTTATTTGACAATTTTGACATGCTGGATGGTTGATGATGGATGGTTGGGACATGTTGGCAAATGTTGGAAATGAAAATAATTGTAATTATGGATAGACTTTTGGATTTTGGGGAAATTGGGATGCTTTTCAAGCACTGGCTCAAGGTTCTGAAACCCCTTTTTCAAAAATCGTAGAACAGATCGGTTCTCACCGATTTGGCGACATAATATGGGTCCATTTTGGAGGGGCCAACAGCAGGAACAAAGAAGCTCTGGACTTGATGGAGAAAACCAAGCAAGCCTGCGAGGACTGGATCCAAACGTTTATTGTTTTTTAGTTGCAATGTTTCTCAGTGTTTGTTTCGGACTTCCTATTAATTAGGAAGATGATTGTTTTTTAGTTGCAATGTTTCTCAATGTTCCTATTAGGAATTATCAATTGATCAATTGATCAGTTGATCGTCATTGGATCATCCCAGGATGCCAGGAAGGCCCGTGGCGTCGAGGCTGCGGTTGCGGAGGCCGTCGTCGCCGTTTCCGACGGCGACGACGGCGAGGGCGTCCGGGTGGAGATCGAGGAAAGCGACGAGGAAACGATGGAGGCCACGCCGGCGACGGCAGTGGAGCCCAGTGGGGAACCACTCCACTCCTTGGAAAGGCTCAACAAGAAGGAGCCAAGGGCCACTTTCACATTTACATATTCATATGATTCATATGCATATACAGATGCAGATACATATACATATTTTACATACACATATAATCACATATACATTTACACATACACATACACACACATAAAATATACATCGATTTTGTAAATGTGCTTTAGAGGATGAAAAGTGATCGTTCTGCTTTCACCATCTTTCACCTATCAATTTCCAGTGCGAATCGGACAGTTCCAGGAGTTCTCGCAATTGCTGAAGGACTTGGACAACGCCACGCTTCGCAGCGCCTTCTGCGCGCGCAGCACGGCAGGCACGGCAGGCACGGCAAGTGCCAAGGCGGATCAATGGGTTGGACGGAAGATCGACCTGAAGGTGGGTGGGGACATGGTGGGGAAAACTGCTCAAACATCGGATGCCAAACCATGAAAAATTAAGATGTCGGCAATGAAGAACGTACGCGGCCCATGGTGTTTTGCAGGGTTCGCATTTTTTGGACAAACCGATGGGAGGGTTGAACCACACGGATGCGTAGATGTTTTTGGATTGGAATGTTCACGCAGGATCCGCAACAAATTTGTTTCGTTGATTTTGTTTATTTTGTTCTCCATTTCCAACTGCGTTCCAATGAACATCTAATATCAAACGGTCAAACGTACAATATCATCCAATGATCCTAGAAAAAACAAAACAGCCGAGGTTTGCATTTGCATTTTTTTTAGCAAAACAGTTTGTTGAGGTGGACGAAGTGGTTCAACCCTCGCGCTTGGATTCGCTGTTGCAACACATGGAGCGTTGCTGCGTCCTGTGGCGGAAACGTCGCACGGGCCAGGGGGTTCAGGCCATGCAAGATGATGAACCCGAAGCCAAAGATGCTGATGACTTCGTGGAACTGGTGACGCCACGTGCGTTGAGTGTGCTGTTGGCATTGGCCAAACAGAATCTGGGATATCTCTGTGAGCGTCAGTTGTCTTTTCCGAATTAATCTGATTTGTTTAGACTAGTTTAAACATATGCGGGGAAGATGATATTGACTGATACTATGTGTTTCTTTTGTTTCTTTCGGGATGGGTTGAAACTGAAACATCTAAAACCATCCAGGAATGATCATCATTGCTCCTTGACCGTGCCGGCAGTCAGACATGTGTGGCCCCTTTTGGAGGGATCCCAGCAATGGCGCTACGACATCTTGTCGTTGCTCTTTGAATGGTCGCAGAGATCCATCTCAGCCAAAGCGATGGCAGAGTTTGCAGCCAGATATCCACAGCACCTGCAGATGCTCATTGATATCGTGGCCAAGGAGAAGAAAGAAGATGCCTTGCCACCAGGCAAAGGGGGAACGGGGAAAAAACGGGGTGGTTGGAGCATCATGTTGCATCTATGTTTTATAATGAGAGCGAAGGAGTCTGGGGATTGTGGTCTCGAAATTCTGTTTCGCACTGTTGGAAGTTTGCCTTTTCACACGTTCCTGCTGTGTTTCTTCAAGTTTACCATGGCCATAGTCCCTACTGGTACCACTAGCCTGAAAGGTGATTATTTTTTCTGTTGAAGCATCCAAGTTAAAGAGTTGGTGATTTTGATCCATATCATCTCATATTGTCAGTCAAGTTTTATATATATATAATATAATCATATTATATATATAATATAATCATATTATATATATAATATAATATATAAATTTATTAATATAATATATAATATATTTATATTATATATATACACATTATATCCATTAGTATTACATTCAATGGTTCACCATTGAAGGCAACGAAAAAAATGGTGGGCTTGCTGACCAGGCTTCCAGGATAATGCCAAAAAGGCCGCTGACTTTCTGGAACTTGGTAGCGAGGCTGCTATGCAGCAGATGATGGTTGCTCGCCCTGGTGATAATGCGGATGTTGAAACCCAACCAAAGGTGTGGTTGATGAGCAAACCTGGAAGTTTGCTGATTCTATTGTTCTTGTTCATGGGAGGGTATAGGGACATGAAATTTACCAACCCATAGTTTGTGCTTATTTCGTGCTTATTTTGTGGGGTTCACTTCGCTGAGGACAGCCTGTTGGTGCAGAGTCCCATGGAGCTGGCGATCGGAAGCGTGGGAAACCTCTGCGCAGCCGGTGCACCGCTGAACATCTTCCAGGAACAGAAACTCAGCAGAACTCGAGGTCCGAGGTCGTTGTTGTCCTTGTTTCATCTCTTTCCAGTTCTTTCCACATAGAGTTGTTGGATGTTGTTGGAAATTCCCGTCTTAGCTATGTTCAGATGGCATTTGATGGCATTCTCAAACATTCTCATTTTTCTTCACATGGTTGGATCCTCTAATTGCATTTGATCGATTTTGATCGCATTTGATCTTTTGTTTTGGACCTTCACCAGCCTAAAATTCTGGTAGGTGTCCCAAAACTGAGGATTTCCGGCTTGGTCCCCTCCATGGTTTCAGCTTTGCGGCGACACCTGCGGCCCAACGATTGGCGCGTTTGTGGCCCCGCTGCTGGGGCACTCTGCAACCTGCTGCGCTTGCCATCCGCAGCGGCAGAGGTGGAGAGCTGCAGTGAGTTGTTGCTGAAGGCTGATCCGGTGGGATTTCCATGGGAGAACGGTGTCAGAACTTGAACATTTAGAGGTTGCAGCAGGGCTGTGTGCAGTTCAGCTCTGAATGTGAATTGATTCACGAACTGAAAGTAAATCACAGGCCTTTCATGCTTTACATATTTTGCTTAAAATGCCTTCCAATGAAGTGAGTCTATGAAAATTCCTGGCGAAATCTCATCAAACTCAGGCTTGCTTGAAATACCAGTCAGGTGGAACCCTCAAGTCGGTCAGGAACCCTCATTCAAGTCGAGTTCACATACATATCCATCATATCCAAGACAAGATATGGCCCATATCTCCATGGTTGTTCAGACGCACATTTCTCAGGCTCTGAGTGAAGAGACCAAGCCCGAGATTGCTGCGATGAAGGACACTTCAGCACCGCACGCTGGGTTTATGACCTATGGCCATCTATGGCCCATGTTCTCATCATAGGGACTGGTTTGCCGTAATTAAACTTTTAAGCCCATGATTGTAATTCATACATGTTAACCATGTTTATTATTAACGTACCTCACGTTAAAGTGGCACATATGGGGGTATATTCACTTCTCTCGAGAGAAAACTATAGCGGAGGGCCCTTTCTAATCAACCAAGTACATCAAGCATTTGATTCGCCTTGTCGATACCGAAAACACAAGAACTGAATGGGCAATAACACAATATTATAGTATTCCGATCCTTTGGCAAATATACCTTGGCACATGAACACAGTGAAATCGTGCGACATGGGCAGATTAACATATGAGCAGTGTTCAAAGCCCCTATTGGTTGATGATTAGTTGGAGGATTATACTAACCAGCATCTTCTGGAAATAATCATGGGGATAATCATGGATAATAATCAATCCAATTTATAGGGGGTTATATAAGTTATATATGATTATCCCCAGATTCCCAATGGATTGAATGATTGATTGGCCAATTATTGGGGACTCCGGACACCAGGAGCTGAAGGCCCAACTGCCATCGCGCTTAGTGGCCTCAGCGACCTCACGGCTGCTGGGAGTACTGGTGCCTTGCCACCAATTTCTGGATTTTGGGGATGAATGGACATGATCAACAAATATCAACAATAACGTTTTGGGGTAGCCTGGTTTTGAAACAAACAGGTATCCGGTATCCCGGTATCCCCATGATTTTTTGAATCTACATCCCCTAATTTTAAGTGTACTTGCTGTTGAAGTCTCACATTCCATCCCTCCAACGGGTAGAAGACCTGGACCAGTAGCACGCTTTCCAAAGGGGATGATCTGGAAGATTGGAACAAGGGCCCCATCTGGGTAGATCAGCTGCTTGAAGAGATATTGCACAGATGGCAGCTGTAGACTGTAGACTGTAGATGTCATAGTGATGTCATAGTTCTACACTGCCTATGTCATATGTCTACAAGGGGTCAGGCCTGATCAAATAGCTCTTCATATATTGGATCGGTCAGAACCTCGAACCTGAGACCTTCAGATGTTTTTTGTCGAAGAGCCCGTCCATTCTTGTGGGGCTTCACTCTCGACCCACAGTGGTGATCGACCCGGCAAAAAGCTCTCCTAAGCTACAATCAATCAGATGAGCCACTTGAAATCATCCATTTTCATCATAGCCTCATACTATTTGCATAGCTATTTTTGTTATCTTTCTGCTACATGCTATCAAGGTATATCGCCCATACTGCACCATTGCAGTGAGGTGAACCTGGTGGTTTGTCGACCAACCTCCCTGGCTCAACTGCAACACCATGGGGCACTGGAGATTGTGTTGCCCTTGCTGGACCCGGAGGCCTACAGCAGCCAAGGCCCACTGAGCTTTTGGGAATCAAACACTTTCCAACTGAAACGAAAAATGTAGAGAAAACTTAAACAATTCCTAAGAATTCCTATCATTTTTTTATCAAAATGTTGAACTCCTAAGATGTTCCCGGCAGATATGGGCAGAAACCAGCAACGCAGCTCAGGTTCCGACGGTTCCGACGAGCCACAAGTGATCTCCACCCGAGTTTGTTTGTTATCTGGACGACTCATTGGTGCCTTCCCAGACTTGAAATTAGATCAAGAGATACAACTGCTGCAAAAATTGCAGCAAATTCTGCAGACGATCTCTGAATTTATTTCCAAAGTCGCTGGGAAAACTTCCATTGATGAGAAAATCCTGGAATTCTTCGATCCACCGGTGCGATTATTGGTGACACTTCTCACCAAGACGGGTGCATTGACTCGCTTGGCGCGCAGATCTGAGGTGGGAGATTTTTTGGGTTTACCTATTGGGGATACCTATGGGGATACCATTGGATTCATTGGTTGTTAAATCTTTTGATGGATACCATGGGATACCATTCTGTTGATGCCCACTCTTTTTCTCAGGAGAACTCGCCCAGCCGTTCGCCGAGTCCGCCGAGCTCCTTGTCCTCCGTGGTGCTTCACCTGTCCCAGCTGCTGAAGGCGCTGCTGCCTGCGCAGCACTTGGCCAAAGAGGAGGAGGGCGCCTCAGCGTCGCGGCTCCGCGGAAATTTGGCGTTGCTCTTTGGACAGCTCAGCGATATGCAAGCGGCAAATGAAGATGCAGCAGTCTGGAAGGCCGATGCAGAAGTGTAGAAGATCAATGGATGTTTTGAAATAAATAAGATGCTCAAGTATGAGGTTGCGAAGAAGTGTACCAAAGAGTTGGCCAAAGAATGATGTCCGTGGACAACCCGACTGCTACTTTTCCGAATCCTGGACATTGTGATGGGTGGAGAATGGAGAGAAATGTTACTTTGGATTTCATTCAAGTCTTCAGTGACAGCTTGTCCTCATTATCCGATTATCCTCATTTCTGTGGTGATGAGAAGCTTATCCAAATGACGGTCTATAAGAGGAGGTTTCCCCAATAATAGTTTACGCGACGATCGATATAATGCCCTGGCAACTCCACGCATCAACAATCCATTTTCGTTGATCAATGAAGTTGAGAAACACCACGGTTTGTCCACCATTTGCAGATCAATTTCCCCCATTTTTTCTGGATATTCCCCATTTTTGCACCAAAAATCCTGGGAAGGCCCTGGATTTGGGCGACGTAGTGGAGACCTTTCTGGAGATGTTCCGCCGTGAGCGCGGCGCCGCGCAGCACAACCTGGGCGTTTGCATCACCAAGTTCTGTAGCAACGGGCGCTACCGCGAACGCGTCAAAGAGGGCAACGGCCTGGAGTCGTTGCATCAGATTCAACTGCCCAAAGTCAATGACCAGAAGGATAGGCTTTTCGGGATTTGAGTGGATTTTGCGGATGAACAGCACAGAACAGCACTGACCAATCCAGTCCAGTCCTGTTACCCGACATGTCACATATCCCATCATAAATCCATCATAAATCCCAGTCATTCCCAGGGCATATTTCATCTGCTAGGAGAAGGAGCAGCGGATGCATCGCCTTGAGACCTCCGTCACAGATCGACGACGAGAGATTCTGAGACGCCGCTGAAGGGTGTGGGGTCCAGGAATGGGATAGCTGCAGCCCAAAATGGATACCCTCTGGTAATTTAACATAGCTATGGAAAATCACCATTTTTAATAGGAAAATCCACTATATATGGGCCATTTTCAATAGCTACGTTAAATTACCAGAGGGTATATAGATTAAAGCTAAGATTGGGTTGGATAGCTTTGTCGTAATTTTTAAATCTCCAAAAATGATAGTTTTGATGCCTGAAGTGGATGGTTTGAAGCTAAAGATGGTTGGACATATACCAAAATCCAGTGGTATATCAACATTTCCGGACCTGGACACCGAGATGCAGCACACACTGCATGTTGACATGATTCAACAAATTTGCAGACTGCAGACTATTGCAGCAACATGAAATGACATATCTATGGGGCAGGACATATGGAAGATAAGCTTATTTTATTTTGACAGTTGAGATTTGTTGAATCTCTTTGCTAGAAATATTCTGCATGCTGCCGCAAGAAGCGGATGAAAGACACTGAATTTAGCAAAAAGTCTCGTGAGTGTATACCGCATTGAGAATTCACAGATGCTGTGTATAAAGTGTTTTTGATCTACATTTGTTTAATGAACACACCCACTCAATCCAATATCGAAAAAGAGGGGAGACAAAGGCAAAGATGCAATAATATCGGCCAATCTTGGGAATGTTGGGATTGGGGTCGCATTATTTTTGGATAAGATTTTGCTTTCATGCCTCTCCTCGGACTGCATATATTTTCTTGTTTCTTTAAATTAATTATATATTTTTATATTTGGAAATAATTTATTTAATTTTCAAAATATTAATGTTTGGAAATAATTATTTATAATATATAAATATTCGATTATAAAATAAATCTAATTAATATAATTTTAATAATTAAATATTGAAATTATGAAAACAAATAAAAATATACAAAAAATATA